GTGCAAGTCACATCATTGTAGCATAAACTCCCAGAGAGAAAAAAAATCATTATAGTCCGAAAAAGGAATGCACAAGATTAATTTCATGAAGTTGAACATTTCTCTCCTACCTCCTTTAAAAGAGCCTTACACTTTACACTTAACATATTTTGAAATTCCCCTACAGGCCTACCCGCAAACTTACCGAACAACCAACTGAATTTATAAACAAAACTATAAATCAAGAGGTCCCATACAAAAAATGCACTGTCAAAAAAATTCCAGTTCACTTGGCTTTCTATTTTCCTTTTTGCAACCTTTTCCCCATTCCTCTCAAACTCTATTTTCACTTTGTTATCGAAGAACAATACTCCTAAAGAGCTTCATTTTCCCCGGGGAGACTATAAATCAAATGTTTCTCTTTTTTCGCTTTTGATGCTCATTCAAGCCAAATAATACTAGCATTGACGAAGGCTTATTGATTACAAGTCTTTTGTGCCGAGCCTATGCTGTCAAGAAGGTGCACTGATGACTTCCATTAGCAGTAGACAAGTTCAATTTCATTTCCATTTGTGTTCAAGAAAAGAAAAGGAATGAAGAGAAGAGAAGAGAAGAGGGAAACCTGATGAAAATTTAGAAGTGTTATGATGTGACACCACACTTTGATATCATAAATGTAGTTTGCTTCATGTTTATGAAGCTGTACTGAAAACAAAAATAGGTAAATATATTACAACTTTTTGATAAGAATGATATCATTCAGATTTCTTTGTACCGGCAGTCTTCAACACTATTTTACCACCCAAATACAGTACTGAATGCTATATTACTGCTGGACTTTGATAAAAGATGCATGTACAATTTGAAGGGCAATTTGACCCCTGACCCTTATCAAAAGAAAAGACCATCTAGAGTCATACAAGTTTTGAAAAATTCAGATTTTAGTCATTTTGTGTGTTAAAATAAATAGGAATGTTGTCCACCACTACATCACAGAGACATTACCGATTCAGCCAATTTGAAGAACCCATACATGTATAGTGATTACATCTATTTTTTAATTCATAACTTTTTTTAAATTTGGTCCAGTTTCAATAAAACTTTCACCAGTGTGCTAATGTGCTTCTCTGATTTGTTTGCTTTCTTCTAGAGTAGTTTTACTTCATAATTTACAGAGCATCTGAGAACAAAACAAAAAACTGCAAGAGTATGACACGTTCCTGGGGTGTGTTTTCACAAAGATCCTAGGTTAAACTTATCTCTAAGTTGGACTTAACAGTTGAGTTATGGAAAGCCTTAGCATTTATGAAAATATTTTGTAAAAGTTATTTTAGGCATCAAATGTTGATTCAAATCATTCATACTTTCTATTATCAAGGATATTTCATGTTCTTGATGGAGAATGTATAAAAAGTCTTAAAAACTTGAATTTTCACTTTTGAATATATTTTATTTAAACTACAAATACATGTAGTTCTTCATAATTTGAAGTCCAACTTAGAGTCAAGTTCGACTTTAGGATCTTTGTGAAACACCCCCCAGGTTCCTGAATTTAAGCATCTGTATGTCACACAGTACACATTCCAATGTCCCGGCTCGTGAACATTTCTAACGACCACAGGCCAGTTCGGTGACATTTATTTACAACCTCGGGGATTAAGAGGCAAACATATTTATTGCCACCTCTCTTTAAAATATATTCTTCAATAGACGTTCCAGGTTTTTTATGGAATTGCAATAACTTTATATGATCGTTATATCCTTCAAGTTCAGAAGTTTTATTGCAGCGTAAATAATCGGCAGGAAGATTCCTATACTCCACTGACATTACATACATGTATTTATACAGTTGGTGACTTGTTTGCTACACATACAAACCTACATATACCTGCAGAGATGTACATGTAAATTTATTAAGTTATAAATATCAAATTTATTCAGTTTGAAAATACTGGTAGCAAACATGACAAAATTCTTGCATCAGTATTTCTTCAAGAAATGAAAAGTAGACACTTGACTACTGCTAAGCAATTTAGAAATCAACTACATGTACATGTATGGTCACAACTCACCGAGCAGGCTACTTTTGGGTAATGTGACCATAGCATTAATTAGTCACTTACATCATGTACAGTATGTTTCATTCTTTTCTTTCTTGTATATCATGTGCATGTTTTTAGTGTATGACTTTCCAAAAGCTAAATCATTTCATCTTTTTCCACTACAGTATCCTATTTTTTTAACCTGGTAATGAATTAGCATTTCAAGAAGGACTTGACTGTAGACACTTGACTATAAAGCAATTTAGAAATCAATTATACTGCTCAAATGTACATCATACATGTATGTTTTGTTCTAATCTTTTTTAAACATACTCTTTAAGAGCCCTCATATTCTCCACTCCAGACTCCAGTCCCTCTTTTATTCTTGAAACTGGAAGTGAATCAGTATTTCAATTTTAAGATGGACTAGACACTAGACATTAGACTACGGTAAACATCTAAGAAATCAATTTCCTGCCTGTATAATACTGGAAAAACTGGACAAGAAACTAAGAATCAATTTTAGTTCTTTACTTGATAATCTAAGAGGTTCAGACATTCTGTTCTGAGTACATGTATACTTGTACAGGTAATTGAAGTACACTTTCTCGGCAGGATTTCTTTTCTGAAAACATCAATATCCCACTCATGTACTTGTGTGTGTTCTATTCAAGATAAACAGCGGCCCTCATCAAAGAAACGATTATGAAATTCGTACTTCGAACCTTTATGAAGTGTCTTCAAGGGAAATGCGGATGCTAATTAATGTACTTTACCTTGGACATATAACTACATGTACATGTTAAGTGAAGGCCATTTGTACTTACCAATTTCTTAAGTGGCTGATGTACGTGTATCATTATATGGTACCGTACCGGACTACCGGTATACAATTACTGTCTAGACGTACTCTAGTGGACGTGGATAAGTCATTGGACTGTGAATCTTATGATTCGCTGTTCAAGTCTCACTTGGGTACCAGTGTCCTGACTCGTTTGCCAAGATATTAATCTACTGTATGTTTGCCACTCTCCACCCAGGTGTGGTAAATGGGTACCCACCATCCAGTAGGATGAAATATCTTAAACGCTTGTGCGCCCTTATCACGGTAGCCATGCTAGGGTAAAGCAGGGCTATGTATTGTATCAACATCTTGGCAGCAACTCTAGAATACCACACACCACAAAAATTTACCCTGGACGTTTGTAGGTTAAAGGCCCACTGCACTTCTGGTAGCTACTTGTGCCCTCTATATAACAAACAATGCCTAATCGGTGACCATTGGTCCCCCATGATCCTCTTTTCTTATGTTAACTAAGAGCTGAGTTGATGAGATAACCACCTGTCCAGTGACCTTGTAGAGTGGTTTAACTTTAATCCCTCCTGTAAACTATGGCAGATAAGCTTTAACCAACACAAAATCAAAAGACTAGCATTTCTTAGGTAACACTGACCCTAATCCTGGCACTAACTCTTACCCTAAACAATTCTAACCCTAGGTGTTGGATGCTCCCAAACCCTATTGGAGGGGTATTCTACATTTTAAGCCACATCTTGATGTCAGGAAATACATGTACATGTACGGGTAAGTATTGATTAGCGGGTTATTAAACTAAAAGTATTGGATTTTGCTATAGCGCTCATATCCACCAATCGATGCGAGGTGCTCAGGGCACACTGGAAAGTGTAGTACAGTACATTATGTTATACCTCTTCTCTACATTGAAGGAAGAAAATGAAATTGAACTGGAAGCCTGACTGCTGAGAACACAGCATTCTTCCAGAATCTCAAGTAAAGGTAAAGGTATACATGTATTATAGTTTATACAATGTAGCTACAATATGTAGGCTACCATTTCCAAGGCTCACATGCCACAGCTTGAATATTATGAATTAATTTCTACAACCCTTTTGGAATAACATATACAGTCAAACCTGCTTTAGTGCCAACTTGTGTACAAAGACCATGTTTTTTTAATTTCCCTCAAAAATGGTTTCTCATTGAAACATGTAAGGAACCTGTCTACAAAGACCACATTTTGTGTTTCCCTTGAGCGGTTGCTATAGACAGGTTTGACTGTACATGTGTAGGATCCTTCAATAAACCTAATCGTTGTATTAATTAACCTTCGGAATTACGAATTTTTGTAAAAATGACACAAAAACATTTTCACATCCCACCGCTGCCATCCACAATACAAATTACCTTCCACTCTGTAAAGAATTAGCTCTGTAAGAATTAAATTAGTACAATATGTAGGCATACATATCTTCCCACAAAGTCAGAGAAGTGATATTTCAAATGAATGGCAACAAAATTGTAGCAAATTACAATCATATAGGGTCTACACAGAATCCTGATATCAACGACTGTAGTTACCGTTTGGACCAATTTTTCAATGTGTTTCTGAGATTTTTAGTACATAACTTACAACCCAACTTAGATTTATGATCATATCACTGACACAATTTATATAGCTTTTCCTTATTTGTTTTTATAAAACATTCCATCAACCACTAGAAATTAAGCATGCATACACATGAGTGGCCCACGTACAGTACACATGTAAGTGCGCAGGCGGGCAACCATACACCAGCACAGCCTTATTCTCTCGCCCGTATCTTTCCCGTTGAGCACCGTCACCATCAAAACAAAAACACACCATCTAAACTGCTTAAATCCTTCATTTCGATTCATTCATACAGCTAAATTCTAGAAAATACACATAAATTAATAAATAAAATGTATGGGTATGTATTTGTTCTGTCTTAACAGTACACCATTCGCCTAGTAATAGTGTTTTACTAAATTGGTTTTAGACTATATACTGAAATCATATGATTCACTTCGCACGGGTCATGTACAAAGCGTACATAGCCATCCCAAATGCACGCATTGGTATACACACACATCAGCACCATACACGTTCATATAGCTACGGAGCGGGGCTCGCACGAAAAGGCTTCGCCAAAACTTACCGCGTACGAACGCCAGGAGGCAGAGTATTCCTAGAAAGGTTTCAAGGCAGCCCATTTCTGCCGTTGACTGAATATCATCTACAACACACCATGGTGCACGGAATCCTTACAGCCTGAATAATTTCTAGGCTCTTGTAATCCTGAATTCTAGGTATTTTCTCGTCGAACTATATATATAATCGGACAATATCTTCGCTAGTAATGTGTTGTATATGTTCGGGCCGTATACCGTGAGAGATGTATATCGTGAACTCGGGTCAAATCCTTTAAGACTACTTTCAGCAAATACTGGATATTCATCCGCGCTGTGTGTTCTCTAGATATTGTAATTTTTAAACTGCTTCAAATCTTCTAAATTAAATACTTCACCCCAAAGTCTTTACTTAATTATAAATATTGCTCTTAGCCGATTGCGATTCGTATAAATTTGCACATTTTTTGAACATATTTGTAATTGAATCACCAACATAAAAAAAAATTGTTTTTTCTTGCGCACGTGCATTATTGAATTAAAGGTAATTGGGTCATGTGTCAATTAAAGATTTCAAGCTCCAACTTCTGTGGGTTGATTGACAGTTTTGAAGCTTTTGTTAATCTTGTCTGATCCTAAACCCATAAAGGATGTTAAGCCAGGGTGGAAAGAAATGTAGTGAAGCGGAAAAAAATTCTGAGTCGACTTGTTTGTTTTTCCAAGCAATCTAAACATGAAGGATGAACGATCGAGGAGAGAAATAAAATAGAGAGAGAAGAAAAAATTATTCGCGAAAGAAAGGCATACAGCTAGTGCTTCAGTAAAAAAAAAAGTTCAGCAGCTTTAGAAATGAATGAATGAAGATAGAAGTCGAAAAACTGTCAGTATTTCTCTGCCCTCAAGTAAATACTTGACAGTTTTCTGTCAATGCCTAAGCATTCACCCACTAGCACTGTAACCGTAGATGGTGTATATAATTGTGACTAGAATTAACTAAGTTTTGTCGTCTTCGGGCGTTCCAGAATTGGAGTAACCTTTCCTCCTCGAATGCCTGTACAGAATCTGTTCAATATTATTGTGGGCTTCTGTCTCGCCAACAAATTCAGGAGGAGAAGCCAAAAGTCTTGAGTTACCCGTACACCGGAAGACATGAACTTCATTCAAAAAGTGTCGAGTTTAACATTTTTAGTAAAGTAAAGAAATAAGGCCTACCGAACTCGCACCTGTCAATAAGGAAATTTACAGGGCTATTTCTATTTTTGTTTTGTTTTCGTTTCGTTTCATATACGTTTCATTTTGGTTTGGTTTGGTTTTTAGGGGGGCCTAGTAATTGGGACTCATTTGGGAGCTTAATTATTATACATCTTTAGACAATCATCCCTCACCGGGCTTCAAGCCTGCATTCTTACACAAATAGGTCTACAACAAAGTCAACAAAGTAATAATCCCAAAAGACAGCATCAAACTAGTGATAAAAAAAATAAGATGAGCATTTTCATATGATTTATATTAAAAAAAGTTAGCAAGTGCAAACTAATATTTGACGAGGACCACCATCCCCCCCCCCCCTCCCCTCTCCAGCCCTATCCGACCCCCTTTCTCTATTATACTCCACGGTATCTCTTCTTTTTGAAGAGGCTCTCAGGGCAATGTTGACCAAAAAAAGAATAATATATGCTTCAGATTTATTCTCAATCCCAAAGTAGCATTGCGATGAAAAGGTATTTTACTACTGCTTTTCACTCTCAACTGTTACAGCAATGCTGCTTTCTGTATAGCGCCCTCTCTTGTTAAGTCATAGGACAGCTAGTAAGCGTCTTGAAGTGACTTTCATTGAATGTCTGAATCATAATGTTCTTTGAGCCAATTTAAATGAAATGACATGTTCGGTTATCATTAAAAACTAATGTTTGCTTATCATTTTCCAAACCAAATTAACCTAAACTAACTGCAAAAACCTGTTAATGTCATTAGACATTCATTACCATGGCCTCATAGTCTCAGACACCGGGCTCAGACATATCAGATTGCACTTTATACATTCGAAGGGAACAAGTTTGGAGTTTCCTATTTTAGAAAATATGAATATTAGCTAAAGATACTACATACTTTAGGAGTCAATATTGTTAAGTTACAGTGAAATCACTCTTGAGTTGCATTATTTTCTCAATTAAACCTCACGCAAGGTTAAAAAACAAAGGGTACATTTGTTTTGTGATGCAAAACCCCAAATATATATATTTTGTCTTGTTTCATTTTTTACCATTTCATTTTGTTTTTTCCTTCTTATTATTTTTCTTCTTTCTCTTCAGAATCTTCATTTTCGTGTTTATTCCTTTTAACATACCAATTGAATTACTGAATGTATTGATTTCATATTTGCCCATTTTTACAATGTACTATTTGCATTTATTTCATTATATTGCAATTTTATCAGTAAATTCAAGATGCGTCAGCTTTTAGCTGTGACTTTGAATTTTCTATCAATAAAACTTTTAAAGTCAATTTAATTCGATTCAATAAATATTGTCATTACTTGAATTCTTCTTTTATTATGATTCATGAAACCAATATTTGCTTTCTTTGTCGATGTTCTTCTGACTTCAGTTAACAAAAATCACATTCCGAAGATGCAAGCGAATTTCAACAGAAAGTGACATTGCAGCTTTATTCTTATCATAATATATTCTTTCAAAAATGGGCAATACGAGGATAATTCCACGAGGGGAATGACGGTCGCTATTGCCCAAATATCAATTTACACCCTCAATTATATATTTTCCTCAGAATGTAATTTCATCATCAAATATTACTAGATAAGAAGGATGTAAAAACTACAGCACATGTCACCACCCCAACGTCCGAATTTATAAGAGGTGACGGTTGTCAGAATAGTTTGTAATCTTTGTGGGTCGATTGCATTTAGTCAATTCAAATCAGGTATATCGATTTAATCTAGATTTTGACAAAAAACCATGGTTACCATGGTACTTTTTTTGTAAGAGCTTACTTACTTGTCTAAATTTTGTCATTATCATAAGTTGAGATTCTAGTTTTGTTTATTTTGGTGATCTTAGCTTTATCAAACCGAACTGATCTGTTGTCCCCCAAAAAACATTTCAATTTTCAGTTTAACATAAAAACCTATCAATAGGCCCCAGGTGATTCTGAATTACGTAGTATTGTATTTTTTGTTATGTGTCCACGTTCTGTGCCTTTTGAGACTGAACGGTCTTTTAGCATATAATCTTTATCTAAAAATGAGGTATATTTCTTTTTCTTTTTCTCAGTTAAGGAACGTGTCGCGTTCTATGGGCAAATTGGCGACTATAAACATGTTACACGTATTACCTATCAAGAAAGACTTACATTGATTAAAAAACAGAAAGAAGATTCCAATTCCATATGGCAGGTTTCAATATTATATGTTCCTTGTGTACCCAGGTGCCCCTGGTGTACCTTACATTTTATTTTCTAATAAATGCTTGAAGAAAAACAATCGTCCGTCTTTACTTTCACCAAATGCAATATCAAAAGCTTTGGTGGAAGGAGGGGAAGGAGGGGGGGGGGATTGGCACATATGCCTATAAACCCATTCAGGTGTAACACAAAAACAAAAAGTGGCCCCCGAATTGCCCCCCCCCCCCCCAGGCACATTAAATTGTTATTATCTTCATCTCATATAATTTTCCTTGATTAATTTTCTTATAGTCAGAAATCTTAAGAATCGTGTCTCATCCTTTTACAAAATCTTGATTAAAAAAATAAAAATCAATAAAGAATGCGCTATCATTTTGGACATTTGGAAATAACTGTTGAACATTGAAAATCGAAAGTCTGTTGATAAACTGCACGCGCCATCTACGTTGAAGAACGGTACAAATTCCACCTTGGGTGCTCGCAGGTCGCCGACGCTGAATCTTGACGAAAATGTTTGTGTTTTGGCCTTTAATAGTGCAATAAATGGTATATACCGAATGAGATTGTCATTTTCTCATCTAACTGCAGTTGGACATATATTTAGCGGCATGAATATATGCGGAAATTCGTGAGATGTCGTGGTTTCGAAGACTCGGTCCGTGGAAGTTTTGCGGGTAATGATGCTGCGCCGGTTGATGATGGCAACAAGCGGCCGAAACTTTCCGGGAAAATTGCGGGGAGAAACCAAGCCAAAACTCAAGGATAAGGATGTGGTCGCCTCCAGCTCCCGAGGTAAACATAACTTACTAAATTTGCTACCGACCGTTTCTAATGCTTTCTTATGTCACTTATCCTTATGATTTTCTGCAACCTCAATCAAGTCAATATAGCCTAGAGGCTAGATAATGATTAGCCTAAATAAAGTTAAATTCGGATGCCTAATTTCTTTAACTTCAAGTTCACTTTCAAGGAGTTTTTGTGACTTAAATTTGAAACTTGATTTAAAGTTTAGAGCCAAAGTTGAAATGAAGGGGAGGGAGGTTGATACATTACTAGACCAATTTTGAAGATAGATTGCAATTTGTTTGTTAAGGTGAACAAGTGAAAATAACAAAGACAAAAATACAAATAGATCTAGATCTAACAGTTAGATCTAAAGTTAGGCCTAGGGTCTATACATGATGATGTAGATGTAGACCGTAGCCTATACAAATTACAAAATAAATAAAAATTAAAGGAAAGCAAGAGACTTGTTCCACTTCCAGAGAGAGAGAGTGTGCAACTGTTACTGTAAGACTAAGACGTAGAGTCTGACAGGGTGTCGGTCTGTCGGAGCACATGAGCGTTCAAGAGTTACATGTAGGGTTAGTATTAGGTTTGGTGTTACCTACATGTAAGAAACTGATTTAGCTTCATTGGTGAAGCGTTGACATCTGGTCAAGTTTTGTGGTGGGATATTCTTCAGTTGCTCCATATCATTGATTTATAAAAAAAATAATGTTAATACTCACTTAATGTTTCTGCTATTGGTTTATTCACCATTGCCATATAAAATAGGCTTGTAACTTGGCCCTTTTTGTTCCCTTAATGCTTCATTTAAAAATTGTGATCACTTTTTAGACGGCGTCTCATCGGCCCCCAATGCCCACTCCACCGGTGGAAAGACAGGATTGCGCAATCACTCCACCCAAGTGACCCAACCGCCCCCTAGACCACCCAAGAACCATGGGGCTACTACCAGAGGCTCCGGACCGAGAAAGACCCCTGCTTCCAGTAGCGCGGGCAATGTTAACAAGAATCGCAACATCCTGAGAACTGGGAGTGCGTCCTCGGAACGCTCCTTCAACAATTCGTTCAAGAAACTGACTATAGATGACAAGAAAGCACCTAGAAGGTACGAAATTAGAATCATTGTTTTTTTGGACATTGGCATGCAATTTCTTTTTAATTCCTTTTAATGACCATAGATCTAGTTAGAGGTTAAGCAACTACCCCTCAGTGAGTTGGAGGCAATGTTTGTTTTGATGGGTCCTCTTCCCATATCAAATCGTTGTCAAATTAAATTGTTGCCATATTGGCTTAATGTTTTTCTTAATACGACATATTTCTTTTTTCTCTTTTGTGGGTAATTTTTAACCAAACGATCTATATCCTGTTGATACCGGTACTAGTATTAGACTGTTATAAGAAATCAAATTTCACTTTTGTAATTATGGTGGCAACATGATAAACTTGGTGTCCATTTGAAAGAAAATATCAGCCCATGGAAAGGGTGCATCTGGATGAAGCTGCAGTGGAAGTGGTAAAGAGAAGTGGGTTGAAAGGGATGGGTCATGCGTTGAGAAGGGAAGGTGATGCACCTGTGAAAAGAGTTGGGATCTAGAAATGGATGGCATAAATGAGAGGAAAAGGAAGACCAAAGATTTCATGAGTAATATGGAAAAGAAAGATAAATCAGTAATGTTGGTCTAAAAGAAGAGGATGCTCACAACAAGAAGTAGTGGGGGAGCCTGGGAGGGAATGTCATCATGGCGTGAAAGTCAGTAACCCCTCGTTAAAGAGGAAATGCTGACTTTAATATAATGGTGATGGTGATGATGATGATGAAGAGGGTGATGGTGGTGACTGATGATGATGATGATGATGTTGATGATGATGTTGATGATGATGATGATGTTGATGATGATGATGATGATGATGTTGATGATGATGATGATGTTGATGATGATGATGTTGATGATGATGATGATGTTGATGATGATGATGATGATGTTGATGATGATGTTGATGATGTTGATGATGATGATGATGTTGATGATGATGATGATGCTGATGATGTTGATGATGATGATGATGATGATGATGATGATGATGATGTTGACGATGATGATGATGATGATGCTGATGATGATGATGATGATGATGCTGATGATGATGATGTTGATGATGATGATGATGATGATGATGCTGATGATGATGATGATGTTGATGATGATGATGATGATGCTGATGATGATGATGTTGATGATGATGCTGATGATGATGATGTTGATGATGATGTTGATGATGATGTTGATGATGATGCTGATGATGATGATGTTGATGATGATGATGATGCTGATGATGATGTTGATGATGATGATGATGATGATGATGATGATGATGATGACAGAGGACGACGACGATGATGTTGATGTTGTTGATGATGATGATGATGGTGACGATGATGATGGTGAGTTAACGATGATAATGATGATGATAAACCTGGTCTCCAGTCCATACCCTTGTTATGTCATGTATAATACTACACTTTGAGAGACTTTGTTATAATTCTGGCGTTGTTTTCAATTTCACAGTGCAACTCCCAAGAGACGGCAGTCATCGTCAGCAGGTAACAGTTCAACCTTTAAGACCATTGAAGACGTGGCAAGGCGGATTCTTCAGAAGAAGAGCAAGAACATTGTTGTGATGGCTGGAGCAGGGATCAGCACACCTAGCGGCATCCCAGACTTCAGGTGAGAATATTTTAAGGTTCTTGTGATGTCATGCCTCAGTCACACCTTGGCGTATTTGGCTTGCGTATTGCTGCATATTTGTGGCAAGCCGTGTTCTTGATATCAAGAAATGATTTTCTGTTAAAGCAATGGTAATTCTTGATATCAAGAGTTTGATTTCTTGTTACCAAGTATTCATTTCTTGATATCAAGAAATAGGAATGAATGTTAAATAAATTGCCATAAATATGAAGCAATACGCAAGCAAAGGTGTGACTGACTGAGGCATTAGAGTAAAATGTTTTTGCTATTTAAAAGGGGGAAGACAAATGTGTTTATAATGTGTGACTACAGACGGTATTTGATTAGACCACATGTAAAAAAAATTATTGTACAGTTGAATTTCACAACAGTATGTTAACATCTCTGATGTTCATTTATGCTTTAATTGCCATGTATTTTATGTACTTATCTGTTTGTTTTTATGTTGTGTTTTAACTTCATTTGTAGTATCCACTTGATACAGGGTCCTCTTGTAAAGCAGGCCTTGTGGCACTGAATGGGGCTACCCTGTGTTTTTAAAGAAGACTGAATAAATCAATCAATAAATAAATACAAATGTTCCTTTTTCGATTGCCAAGGGTCTAGGTCTCCAGGATCAGGGCTATACGATAACCTACATCAATACAGAATCCCTTACCCCAAAGCCATCTTCGATATTGACTTCTTTCTCAAAGTCTTCAAGACATTCTTTCATCGTTAAGAAAAAAAAGAGAAAACAACCCTAACCCTTGTCCCATGTATTCAAAATTGTGTTTGTTTTCCCACCATAGGTCTCCAGGATCAGGGCTATACGATAACCTTCAGCAATACATGATCCCTTACCCCGAAGCCATCTTCGATCTTGACTTCTTTCTCAAAGTCTTCCAGACATTCTTTTATCATTCAGAAAAAAAGAAAAGAAAAGAATACTAACACTTGTCCCATGTATTCATAATTTTGTTGTGTTTCCACCGTAGGTCTCCAGGATCAGGGCTATACGACAACCTTCAGCAATACAGGATACCTTATCCCGAAGCCATCTTCGATATCGACTTTTTCCGCAAGAACCCAAAGCCTTTCTTCACCCTGGCCAAGGAGCTGTATCCATCCGGGAAGTACCGTCCCAACTACGTTCATTACTTTGTACGCATGCTCTATGAGAAGGGGCTCCTGCTACGGATGTACACGCAGAATATAGACGGTCTGGAGAGATGTAAGCTATAAAAAATATTTGATATTTTATGAAGGCTATGGCAAAAATACAGTAATACAGTATTTTACACAACAATAGTTGCCAAGAAAAATTCTGAATGAAGTATTTGTGGCAAAAAAAAAAGATGGCCTTAAAAGATATAAGCTACAGTGTATGAACATTTTTTACATTTTATAAAGACTACGGCGACAATTCCTTTAAAGGTAAAGACCAGTATTGGAAACGCCCAAATTTCAAAAAAATGAAATGGAAGCTCTCATTACCAATCATGTGAAAGAATATGTTTTGACTAATACATGATGATAACAAATTTGCCGGGAAACCGCCTACTAATTCATATATTTGGTAAATTTGTTTCTCTCATGGTCTGTGAGAGATATAGGGTAGTCCCATATACATCTTTCTGTGTATAGTGCTTGTAACACGAAGAATGGGCCAAATTTCTTATCATTTTGATGATTCCAGAACCTTGCAGATGCTAGATGCTAGATGATCAACCTTTTCTGATCGATTCCACAACGTTTCTTTCACAATGCAATCGCATGACCATAACTGGTCTTTACCTTTAACAAAAAGGGTAAGGGTTTTCCATAGTCTTGTCTGCACCTAGTTCATAATTCCCATTTATTCTGATGTGGGTTTCATTTTATTTTGACTCCCTTTTTAACAGTGGCTGGCATCCCCGGTGACAAGCTGGTGGAGGCTCATGGGACATTTACAAGGTGTACCTGCACCAAGTGTGGCTACCAGCACGAAGGAGAAGACGTGAAGGTAGGTCAGGACTGGACAAACCTTTAGACAAGGCAGTAGTGGCTGTAGTATTTAAGCCCCACTGTACTACTTGTAGCTACTTGCTCCCTCTATATAGAAAACAATGCCTAATCGGTGACCATTGGTCCCCTATGATCCTCTTTTTCTTATGTTAATTGAGAGCTGAGTTGATGAGATAACCACCTGTCAGTGACCTTCCTGGGAGGTCTAATCCCTCCTAGCCAAACTAGTACAGATGGGCTTTAAAGACACATATTAGTGGACTCTCATTGAAAATTTGACACCATTCTGGTGTTTACCCCATAATAGGTGTTTTCAATCACCAGGATTAGCCTTCTGTTTTATGACCAACGGGCCTCGTGTAATGCTCTGCATTTTCCACCCATCCCCCATATGGAAAAAAGTCATTATCTTACAATTCTCTCATCCGAAGACTCTCTAAGAGATTAGAGGTATCTCTTGATAGGATCACATGTTTGCTGTGTGCAAGACTTGTACACCCATCAATGGTATTTCCACCAAGTCTAGAATCAGCGAATGATGACCTACCGCATATGGAAACTGACTACCACCTCCCTTTGACCCTGGCATAGTGTGTGAATACTTATGCTTTCTTTTGAGAGCCCTCTTGCTTAAAAAGTTTTGTGTTCTTATGCAAATTAAAGAAATCCACGCAAGATATTACTGGTCAGTGATAAATTGTAGACATTTCTTTGGCGGTGTAGAAACCTTGAATTTTGCAGAACGCTTACAAAGCGACTTTATAATTTCCATTTATGAAAGACATTTCCCTTGCATTGATATCATAGAAATGATGGACTACATATATTCTTCCATACTGGTAGTTTGTTTCATCATTTCATTCCATTTTATCCTTTTTAATATATCTCCTTCTTTCATGTTGCTCTTTATGTCTGTCTGTTTACAGGGGACTATTTTGGGTGATAGAATACCAAGATGCTCAAGACCAAGATGTACGGTAAGTTTCTGAGCTGAACGTTGATGTGTATTAGTTGCATCCTATTTTCAATTTTTAATCGGAAAGTCCTTAAAGTGTACCAATCACCTAAAAAACAATTTGTAAACAGCTATAATGCATAAAATCAACCTCAATAAAAGTTTTATGCAGCATTATATGGGTTAAGGGACAAGGAGTACGAAGAAGAAAAAAATAAACATAAAACACCCTGCACGGAGCATAATGCAGACTTTGGTTCCATGTGGGTTCTATTCTATGCGAGCTTGTTCAGATGCATCAAGTAGTCTACTTATTCTTCGTCTTTGGGAGTACTGTCCAATCCCTCTAAAAGGGGTTTAACAGATAGGGTAGGGTGCGATGATGGGAATTAAGCAGAGAGAGAGAGAGGATTGGCTTATTGTTTACTTTGCTTTTAATTGACTTTTTAAGCAATATTGAATCAATTTCTTGTCATCTTGATGATTCAAAATCCTCTAAGGATACATCAGTTATTTCATATTACAAACTGAACCTTTTCAAATAGCTCTCAAACAGTTTATTTCACAATGAAATTGCACAAAAAGAGTTCAGATTTGTCTCTGATTATCATAACTACGTCTTTCATTAATCACTATCTGTCAACAATTCCTTCTGTTTCTTTTTACCAGGGTGTGGTCAAACCCAACATTGTCTTCTTTGGTGAGGACTTACCCAAGAGATTCTTCTACTACATGAAGGACATGCCGCTCTGTGATCTGCTTATCGTCATGGGGACATCATTAGAGGTACGTATCACAGCCTTAAAGCCCCACTGCACTACTTGTAGCTACTTGCGCCCTCTATATAGCAAACAATGCCTAAGCGGTGACCATTGGTCCCCCATGATCCTCTTTTTCTTATGTTAGTTGAGAGCTTATTTGATGAGATAACCATTTGTTAGTGACCATGCAGGGAGGGAGGTCTAATCCCTCCTGGCCAAACTAGTGCAGATCGGCTTTAAAAGTAGGGTTTTGAATACTGTTTCTGCTCACTATGTTCACTTCGCTCAGATTTCTCAATATTTGAATTGCAGTTAAGGATTTTGTTCAAACTCCCCTGACATATTTCTTCTCGTATCGCTATCGTCACAGGTGTACCCCTTTGCTGGTATAGTAGACTCTGTGCGCCCCTTTGTCCCCCGACTCCTCATCAATCGGGAGGTGGTGGGGCCGTTCTCGCGCCCCTCGTCCAGTCGTCACAACGACCTGGCCGTGACAGGCGACCTGGTGGAATGCGTCCAGAAGTTTGCCCGGGTTCTCGGCTGGAAGAAAGCACTGGAGGATGTGATAAAGGACAATGAAGTGAAGCTGGTCAGTTTATTAATCAATTCCTAACTTTTTCTTACAGTAACATTTAAATAATATACTGCTAGCTCATATGATTGTGACTTTTGGCTGTTCCCTTCATCCTCTACACGTTTCATAGACATTGGTTGTGTTTACATTTTCATCCACTACCTTTCCTTTCTCCCATCATAGGACGCAATGGTCGTTGAAATGGAATCAAAGGCTGCCAAGTCATCCACAGAGCCGTCTGAGAACACCAACAACAACGCGACCGATCAAAACGCCAAAACAAACACCAGTCCGCAACGTCTCACCGGATTACAACGCGAGCAGGATACGACTCATGTACGCAAGATACACACCGAGAGTCTGAGCAAGGCCAACTCGCAGAGGGCGCCCAGCGATGCGTCGAGGCGTCGAATAAACTCTTCAGGCACGGCGAGGTCGAGCCTGCCGCGAATTACAAATTTTAGGAGAACTCGCCCTCATAGGACAGTGGCAGATTTGAGTAGTAGCAGTAGTGAATCGTCTACATCGGAGTCGAGTTCGGAAGACGATTATTGAGCGAATGTCGTGGGTCATAGGTTAGGTCATAGGTCATATGTTAGCATGTGCTGGATGAGCAACTCGGCGAGAATCGGGCTTTACAGGACACTCATCCTGATAGAACAGTTATACATGTATCTTTGAGTAGCAGTAGTGAATCGTCTACATTGGAGGAGAGTTCGGAAGACGATTATTGAGTGTATATCGTGAGATCAAAGGTTAGCTTGTGCTGGATGAGCAACTCAGCGAGAATCTGGCTTTACTCGACACAATGGAGAGGGGTATCGTGGAAGAGCATTCAATGAATTGTCATCGTCAACTATTAAAGAGTTCAGAAGTTGATTATTGAGCAAATGTTTTCGTCAAATGTGGGCTTGCGCCAGCTGAGCAACTTGATCATCCTGCTATGAATATGATTGACACAAAGGAGTGTGATATATGTATCTTCAAGGTGAAGAAGTGAAATCGTCTTTTGGCAGCTGAGAGTTTAGAAGATCATTATTGAGCTAATGTCGTGGGTCAAATGTCACCTTGTGCTGGATCTCAAACTCGACTAGAACCTTGCTGTATATACGACATAGGAGCGTGGTGTCTTCAAGCATAAGTAGTGAATCTTTGTGTCATGTGAGAGTATGGAAAATGATTTTTGAGCGAGTGTCGGGTCAAAGGTCAGCTTGCAGTGGATAAAGAATGGATGAAGAACTTGACAAGAAGTGCACTGTTATGGACAGACAGGAGAGTGGTAGCTCGGGAGAGCAAAACATGGATCATAGTCAGAAGTTTGAGCTTGGAATGCAAGCATTGAGGAAATATAATGCAGTCAAATATCTCATTTGATTGTTCTTTTTGGAGAGTTATTAGAAGTGATGAATTTTTATCCAGTGAGAGTCCGCAATAAAACAACATAAATTTAATGTGGATATGCGACATTGAGAATGTGCTTGCCCACGTTGGGAAATCTGACCTTGAATAAGGAATGTGCAATTGTTTGTTTGAAAAGAGGTTGTAGAGTTGCAAAGAAAAAACAGTGCTCTCATTTAGTCCCTTTTGACTTTTGTATTTAATCTGTTGGATTTCATCTTAATACATCTTGCATTTTTCATACTCTTATCTCAGCCTTGATTGATTGATTGATTCAAATTTATTCCATTTCATAAAGAACATAGTTGACAAATTAAGTTGAAAATCATGAAATGAAACGGGAACCTACTGGAAAGCATACAGATTGTTTTTTGTAGGTTCCCAAGAATGAATATGATATGAACATTATTTTCATAAATCATTTTAAAGTATCTTAATAATCACAGTAAAATACATGTACTTGTATCTCAGGCTTCATTTCGAGTTCTGTTCATTGCAAATTTTCATAGAATCACAACATGCTCTAGAGAACAAATAAATGAAATCCAGCAATCAAGCTTTGTCAAAGAGTATGAATAGCACATAGTGAGGAAAGAAAATGAGATATTTGATCTAATTCATCCTCACCATGTTTAGATGTGAGTTGTGCTTTTCAGTAATTGGGATTTCTAGAAGTTTCATTAGATTTGCAAACTTCGTTGACTTTACTTTGTCAAAAATATTAGATACTATAAATATATGGGCCATTTACATGCAATTACCCACAGCACTGTAAGGGTCACATAATAGGCAACTGAACCACTGAGATACCTCAATTGCCCTAGATGACAAGGGTGAATTATTCAATGGCTGTGGTGTTTTCTGTCATTCAAAATGTGCAACCTTTCTATGGAAATGCTTTAGCCATAGCTCACAGAGTAGAGATAGTTGCAACACAGGAAGTCATGCTTGTTCATAGGTCAAATTCATGGAGTATTGAAATAGTTCCTAAAGAGATGATTGGTAATACAAAATTGAAGAATAGCATTGAATACAGACGTACTAAAGCTCTTCATCTTGCTCTCACCAGTGAGAGTAAATTGCTTAGATTGTCTGAAATGGTTCCCTTCCATATATATTGTATGTGGGAGGGAATTGTTTCGAGCTCCACGAATCGGCATTCAAGCATACACGTTTAAGGGTGTCACAACTATTTCTCTCTGTACGCTCTGGGAAAGGCTTTTTAGTGCACAATTCAATTCAATTCAATTCAATAATGGTTTACTATGTAATTTCAAAATACATGCATCATAATTGTCATTTTACATGAAAAGCAGCACGGTATGTGTTTGAGAGTTGAGAATTTCCCTTGTTTGATGTGAAACTGCCAAATTTGAATTTTGAAACTGCATGATTTGAAAATCGCTTACTATGTTTGTCTGTTTGGAGCCCAAATTAGGGCATTAACTTATACACTCTAGCACAGAGGTAACACCCTGACCCCCGACTCCAAACAGAAGATACATGTACATACATGTAGATGATGAAGGTTCTTAGTCTTTACAAATTCATAATTGACTTGATAATTGATATAATTTGATATCAAAGTGTGTGAATTCTCATGATTTTCCTCTATTTGTATGCATATTGCATTTCGCCAAAAAGTGTGTGGTATTTTTGTGGTTTCATCAATCTCATTATGAATGAGATGGACACGGATCTATACCCAAAAGCTGATTGATCTTATTTTTTTTGCAGCATAAAGCTAGTCGATTCATGAAACTGACTTTAGGTTATGCCAGTACCTCAAATACTTCTCCTATTTTAATTATTCAAAAAAATTAATGCACAGTGTTTTTGTATGCTTTTGGGACTTTATATGAATGGGTGCACAGCACAATGGTAATGGAATGTGGTCGTGTCAAAATCAATATTTTCTATTAAAGCACTGCCAGGCTTTTACTTCTTACGCAGTTTTTTTCTCGTGCCTTGAAATACAATTTGTATGAGTTTGCATTTATCTTAAACACATATTGATAAGATCTCTGCATATATATATAGTTATAATTTCAATGTAAGTTGGCAGATTGAATAGTCATAAATCTTAAATCTGATGCACATACATATACTAAAATATTATTTATAAAGTCTCAGTGCATATTTATAAGATCTCTGCATTTATGCACATGTACCGGTATTTAGAATTCTGATGTAAATTTGGCAGATTAAATAGAATTATATTTATAAAACTAGTGGTATGTCTAATACTTCTGATGCACATATTTAGTTTATAATGGTAATTTGTTTACAGGGGAAAAATTAGTAAAGTAATCTATCTATTTCTAACTGGTATATGGTATATTAGTAATTGAATTAACAAAGGTGTAGGGAAATTTTATATAATGCACAGATAGTTTTCAAATTACGCAAAATGAAAAGAGGAGAAAGTTGGAAAAGAAAGGAAGAATATGCACTGTAGCAGGATAGGAGAATCAAATTAAAATATTTATTTTTGCCAATGAATAAAACTAATAGCTGCATTTACCTCCGCAAATTTATATTTCATATGCAAACTTTTATAATTATTTGAAGACGTAGTTGTTTAACCCAAATAGATACTTTTGTTGGAGTGTTTGTGAGAAGTTAACAATTTTTAATGTGTACATGTTTATGCTTACATGGATATGTATATGTGGTAAAAAGTATTTTGTGAATAAATAATTTGAAACCAATATGTGATATTTTGTCAATGTTTGTTTAGCAATACTGAATTCATGTTATGAGATGAAGTGTATAGTGAATACGGCATTGAAATGGGACTAAGTTTTTAAAATTGGAATTTGAGAGAAGAGGTGGAGGAAAAGACGGGGAAGGGGAGAAGTAGGAGAAAGAGAATTAAGAAAAGATGGTGAGGAAGAGAGGAAAAGAAAGTGACAAAGGAACAGTGAGAGGGTGTGTGTGTGAAAGAGGGAGAGAGAGAGAGAGAAAGAGAGAGAGAGAGAAAGAGAGAGAGAAAGAGAGAGAGAAAGAGAGAGAGAAAGAGAGAGAGAGAGAGAGAGAGAGAGAGAGACACACACACAAGACGAAAGGACAGGGAGGAGCAGAGAAGAGGGGGAGAAAGTAGGAGAAATAAAATATGAAGAGAGGTAGGAAAAGTGGGAGAGATGAGAAGAGAGGAAAAGGTTGTAAAAAGGGATGAGTGAGATGAAGGAAAGAGGAGGAACAGAGATGAAGGAAAAAGGAAGAACAGAGGGTGAAAGAGAGTGAATGGAGTAGCAGAAAGGGAGGTAGTAGGAGAAAGGAAAAAGGAAGAGGTGGGAAAAGATTGTGTGACAAGGAGGACAAAAGGGAGAGACACAGAGAAACTAAGTGGGGAGTATATTTTTTTTCAAAAGGGAAGAAGGGGAGGATGTATTCCCCTCGCTATGCTCTCTTTAGATTAACATGAGAATATAAAGGTAAAGAGTTTAATAAAACGGGGGAATAAAAAGAAATAAGTACCTGGAAACATTTTATAATGAAACTGAATATAAGAAGAGGAAAGGAGATTAATTAAGAGAAAAACATAATTGAACCAGAGGCAATCAAACACGAACATAAGAGTTGCAAAACACTTTATTGACCCACGATGTGTTAACACCGATGAATCAACATGCTTACGCATCATAAATAAAAGCAAAGTAAATGTATCATGATTCTACAATTAAAAATCCTTAGTGCTTTTGTCACTGAGACTGTGTATGTTCATACTTGCATTTTCAAAATCATATATTCTGAACAAGATTAACGATAATGAACTAGTATTCTGATCTTAGATGGGGAAAAATCACAAAAAACAATGTATAGTATGAGCTAGGCTTTAGGTTTTGAATTAAATAGATTTCCACTTTTTGTAAAATCTATAAAATGCTAAATGTGTATATATATATTTGTAAGAGTAATTTATTTAGAACAGAAAAAAATTATGTTTCACAACTGCCATTTCACAAGACCTTCTGCTACTTAATTGTACCGGTATCCATAATTTACAATGCCGTCATCTGATATTAAAGCGATACTGAACTGTTTAGCTTTCTGCTCTAGTGTACTGTTTATTCCACAGCACCATCTCATGGTCAATTGCAAGAAGTGTGTACCCCAATACCTAATTCCCACTTCGCAGCCAGATCGAGGACTCGATGCGAGAACCAACAGTGCAGCTAGGGAAGCAGCAAGTTGCGGGACCACAATGCTTCAGGTGACCTGAGATGACCCTAGAAGAGATTTTGCGGTAGTGCTTCTAGTACAGTATGGCTTTAATAACAAAAGGTATGGTATTGACTTGAAGAACTTTCAGTGGAGTCACAAAATATATTTATGAAAAAAAAAAAATCATTTGAAGCCTACTTTATATACAAAAAAAGTTCTTTGAAGTTGGTCATATAGCAAATAAATATCAAAATCTTGGAATGCAAAACAAGGTACTCAAACAGCAGATTGGGGATACACCCTTTTGTAATGTATTAACATTTAATGAATAAATCTTTGTTTGGTGCCTTGTTACAAATCATTTCGCTCACCTTTTATGAATAATTGTATTTCAATAGTCAGAATGCGAGTTACATATATTACTTGTTGTTAGGTAGGACCATGGACCTATTACGAATGGACATTCAACGTGATTCTTTCTTTGATCCTATGATAGTCGCCGCCTTCTGATTATGTGCATCTTAATGAGAACATTCAGCTGTTTTAACAATAACGACTGCGTAAGCATTTTCGGGCATTGACAAAGGAGCAGTTTCCCTCTCTTGGGTTTTGTTTGGATGGTGTGCTCTGTAAGTGTCTTAAATAAAAACATCCCCAATGGGGAGCAGCAAAATTGAAAAGCAGATGATTTTGGTGATATGAAATGTATTATTACTGATTCGCACACTTTCGCACACCCTCATGACCTTATTAAACAATTAGAAGGCCATGATCTTTATAAACCCTGTGCGTTGTAACTCTCGAATATTATGCGGAAATTGGGGAAAACAGGATTTTAAATCACAAACAATCCAAACAAAACCTATCTAGTAATATCAACATGTTTTTCAAAAATAGAACACAGTACACGGAACAACAATTTCCAATTATTAACCACAATTGCACATCGATCTCCCATGATTTAAGCGGTTTATTATCTCCTGCGTATGTAGATTAACATGTTTAAAATCACTATCTTGATTCTGTCCCGGCTTATTGGCAGTGACCATCATGAGATCAAAGGTAAGAAACATGTACGGAATGTTATTGAGACGACATTGACGGAGACAATCACAATGAATTCTTTAACAAAACGATGAATGTCCATTAGTAATAGGTCCATGGTAGGACAAGCCATAACATTTATCCTAACTAGCAACAATTTATGTATGCAATTCACATTCACATGACTATTGAAATACATTTATTTGTAACAGGTGAATTATATCATTTGTTACATGGCACTTAACAAAGATTTATGCATTAAGTTTGATTATATTACCAAAACGGTCTATTGAATAAGCTTGGCTCTCACATCATTATTACAATAATCAATTAACTTTACCATGATTTAGCAGCCTCTCGTAAAATTAAAATTACCAAGCTCATAATAATTCAGGATGTATTCTGATTATTGGCTTCATGTATTCAACATTATCTTCTGAATGAAACAGATAATGGAAACAATTTATCTGTTCAATACATGGAATCTCCATGCAGTGTAATGTATCCCACACAAGATAGCAACGGTTTCCATTAACAACATACACATCATTATCAAGGGCCGGGTCGTGGTTCGATCCCTGACACGGCACTAATGTCCTTTGGCAAGGCATGAATCTACATTTTCCATTCAATACCCACAAGAGAAATAGGGACCGGGTCGGATGAACTTTCATTTGCCTCTCTTATTGTGTTGATGAGTCATGATTTTACTCTTGCTTTCCTGAACTCTTCTTTACCAACATACACATTAAAAAAAAAAACTTTACATAAGCAGAAGCTAGTGGACAACAATGCATAGAATTTCCCCAAAACAAAATACCATTTTGTCTCAAAAGCGATCACATTAAAAAATATTGCACCAATCTAATACATGTACATACATAAAGAAAGCACTATGACTATACCAAATGGTAAACACAGTGCATGAGTTTTTATCAAAGAAAAAAAAGAAGATAAAAATACAAAGATTCTGGTATTCCCTCTTAGTCTCGGAAAATAGACAACTTATTTGTTTAATAAGAGGTTCTACAGTTTAGATGCAAGACTAGTTGCATCTGAATCTGTAAGAATGTACTGTAAACACTTTTATTTTTGCGTGATAAATTTTTTCGTGCTGAGCGACCCCAAAATATATTCGCTGGTCCTAAATTCGCATTGGACGCAATTCAGCCCGTTCAAAACACTCATAAGAAGTCATGCTTGTATTTTTGAGAGTTCTAAACTTCGCGCTTGCCAATTTAGCGTGAAATCAATGTACCGCAAATATTTCTACTTTTACATTATTAGAATGGGCCATGTGACCAAATCTAATTTATACCTCTTTTTGAAGCACCTCGATTTGAATGATTCCATTCACCTGTTACAAAATAATTGTATTTCAATAGTCAGAATGCAACCAGCATACGTTATGTGGTGTTAGGTAGGACAAGCCACAATGTTTGTCCTACCTACTGTAGCAACAAATACTGTATGCAATTCGCATTCTGACTATTGAGATACAATTATTTGTAACAGGTGAATGAAATTAATTGTATCTAGGCACTTCACAAAGACGTATGATTTAAATTTTGTTACATTACGAAAAATAACCCATTTCACCATTACATAATTTACATCTAGTATTAAAAAAAATTACTTCTTGTGAAAAAACAGCAAGATTCTTTCATTATAATTTTCTGAGTTTTGCACTGAACACATGATTTTATTCATATTTTATTTTACAATGACAAGCATGAAAAAGGTCTACCAGCTTATTTTAGTTATAAGGTGGAACTTGCATATGTGTGCATATGATGGAGCTAAATTATTTGCAATTTAATGTATAAAATGTTCTTATCATCTAAAACCATGCAAATGTGTTACAAGTCATTAGATACCTAAGAAAGCAAACTTTGAGTGACTCATTTGGACATTCAAAGGTTTCATTGTAGAAACACATTATTTAAATTAAAAAGTATTTTTTAAGTTTTTAAACACGATGGCCCAAAAGTGAAGAGGTAATCTAGACATGTGTGACATTTTGATAGAATCATCACCAAATTAACTTAAAAGGGAAGTCCACCCTGATATTAAGTTGGTTTTAATAAAAATTGAAAAATGAGAGGAACATGTCAGTGAAAGTTTGAGTAAAATCCGATTAAAAATAGGAAAGTTATGAATTGTATAAGTTGTCATCAGTTAAACACAAATTGGCAACACTGTAACGTATCTTGCGAACCCCCCTCCCATTTGCTCTGTATGGATAATTTCATAAACTATTATTTTCTTAGTTATTCATGACGGAATACACTTGTTTCATAAAGGGGTTGTTAGAAGAAAAACAACAACATATTTTCAATAATTATATTAAGGGAGCATATATGGTTGAAAATTTTCTTTAAAAAGAGAAAATATGATTTTCTGATTTTTGTCTTATTCAGAGCAAAAGGAAGGGGACCTCGCAAGATACGTCTCAGAGTTGCCAATTTGTGTTTGATTGATCACAAAGTCAAATATTCATAACTTTCTTATTTCTAATAGGATTTTACTCAAACTCTCACTGACCTGTTCCTCTCATATTTCTGTTTCTATTAAAACCAACTTAAAATCAGGGTGGACTTCCCCTTCAATAATTACATGCATTCCTTCTACATTGAACAATAAAGTGTATTTACAAGTACTGAAGTCTGTTGGTGAACAAGGGATAGTTTATACAGTAATATCCTCAATTTAGGGCTGGTCACAAATGAAGGATATAATGACGATTATGGAAATGATAAAAATGGATCCAAGAAAAGTCGGCGCTGAAGGCTAATTAGCATGTATCAGCAAGCACCATACATTTTCTATATAGACCGTTTATCACTCCTGCCAATGTTATCGTAATCATATGGTATGTTTCTAGGGAATTTCAAAATAGCACTCCTTTCCGGGTCTAACAGATTGTTTCCAGGTATATGTTCCGTGGAAACACACCATAATCCAATAAAACCATTAAATAGACCGTTTATCACTCCTGCCAGTGTTATCCTTATCATATGGCATGTTTCCTACAGGATTTTAAAATACCACTCCTTTTCCGGTCTAATGGATTATTTCCAGGTATATGTTCCGTGGAATTACACCATAATAATCCAATAAAACAGTAGATACACATAGTAGTGGGCTCATGGGAAATTCACCCAATAACATGTGCTGTTAATCCCCAGGATTAAATTTCAGTTTTATGACCAACAGGCCTTATGTAATGCTCTGCATTTTCAACTAATCGACCCATATGGAAAAGTAACTATTTTACATTTCCCTTACCCGAAGACTCTTGGAGAGACTAAGGGGTATTTCTTGATGGGACCACAGGTTCGCTGTGTGCTAGACTTGTACACCCATTAACGGTATTTCTACCAAGTCTGGTGTCAGCGGATTTATATGACCTTCTGTACATGGAAACTAACTTCCATCTCCCTTTGATGGAATTGCACTCCTGCAGAAACAGACTCGTTATATTCTGAAAGGGGTAACTGCTTAATTTCTAATTCCAGGTAAGTGACTGCATTACTTTACAGGGAAGTGCTTCACAGAGACTAAGATCAACTTTAAGTTGGACTTAACTATGGCAGGCCGTTCATGCCTCAGTTCTCTCTCACCATTTACGGACATTTGTCTCTCAAGGGTCATGCAAATCATGGTCACAAATCTACAGAATTTACATCATTTGAATATTCATTATTGAAGGAAAAAAATATTACCTGAAGATCATAATGGTGGGAGCAACCATGTTGCATGAATGGTCTGCCATATTCAAGTCCAACTTAAAGTCAATCTTAGTCTTTGTGAAACAACCCCCCCTGGTTTCCTGTAGGAACACACTGATATATCATCGACAGGTGACCAGCCCTTTGTCTTTCAAAGAAGTTCAAAAGCTTGACCGACGTAGATCGGCCAATTTTGAGGACAAGGTCGGATCAGTCGCCATCTGTATCGCCGTTGCCGTTTTCTTGGTTCTCAACGGCCTCAGCGCGACCCATGATCTCTTGCATCGAGATGAGGCGGCCATCTTGTCCGACAGCCATGGGAGTGATAACGCCCTCACTGTACAAGTAAGAAGATGAAAGGTATTAGAAGCACATTGTCATGCGATTGTTTGAGCTATTTTGATTATCATTTATGTTCAATATACAATTTTGATCTTGTAAAATTTTCTTAAAGATCTTGCAAAATCTATAATCATTATTGAAAATGCTTGGGTATTTATTTATGTGGGGATATATTGATCTTGTTAAATTTTACATATATTTTTGGCAGTATTTGCAACTATCTGCCCTGACATCATCACCATCTTATTATCTTCAGCATCATTATCCTCATCATCACCATACCATCGTCACCACAATCATTATCCCCCTCCTCTTCCTGCTCCTGCTCCTCCTCCTCCTCATCCTCATTATCATCGTCGTCGTCATCATCACCATCACCACCACCACCACCACCACCACCACCACCACCACCACCACCACCACCACCACCACCACCACCACCACCACCACCACCACCACCACCACCACCACCACCACCACCACCACCACCACCACCACCACCACCACCACCACCACCACCACCACCACCACCACCACCACCACCACCACCACCACCACCACCACCACCACCACCACCACCACCACCACCACCACCACCACCACCACCACCACCACCACCACCACCACCACCACCACCACCACCACCACCACCACCACCACCACCTCCACCACCACCATCACCACCCTCCTCCTCCTCTTCAAGTTGAACTCACTTGGCCATCTTAGTGATCATCACTGCTAGTTCTCTGGCATGGAACTCTTTCTGTTCCTCTGACATGCCTTCCATGGGGTCCGGTTTATCCTCCTCTACTCTCCCTGTAATGGGATTTATCCTGTGCAAAGGGCGGAGATTAAAATTCAACAATAATAAATCCCATACTTAAAGGGGAAGTCCACCCTCATATCAAGTTGGAAATATTAGAGAAAACTGGACAGTGAAAGTTTGAGCAAAAACCGATTGAAAATAAGAAAGTAATGAATTTTTGGAGGAGTGATTAATCAAACAAAACACTAAGTCCCTTTCCATTTGCCCAGTACTAAAAATCTTACAGAAGGGCATGTTCAGGAACCCACATATAAGGCCCATTCATCTATAAAGACCACTTTTTTTGTTTCCCTTGAAAATCATTCATCAAAACCTGTTCTAAAGGAACCCATATATAAAGATCACCTGTCTATATAGACCACAGTTATTGCTTCCCTTGAAAAATGTTTCTCACTGAAACCTGTACATAAAGACCACTTTTCTTTTCTTTTCTAAAGTGGTCTTTATATACAGGTTTCACTGTACATGCTAAATAAAATGAGTATTCATACCTGTCCCTGACTTCCCTGTATTCTTCTGTATCGCTGTCTGAATCACCGTCGCTATCGCTGTAATCAGTGTTACCCCTCCCGCCGTGAAGTAGCCCCCTCCTTGCAAGCATGCCAGCAGCATTGCCGTATCCAGTATACTTCACCATTCTTGAAACTGTGGAAAATAAAGGGGGGAGCTGAGACATTATTCAAATTGTGAACTAGACCCCACCCACCGTGTATTAGCCCCCTCCTTGCAAGCATGCCAGCAGCATTGCTGTATCCGGTATACTTCACCATTCTTAAAACTTTGTAACACACATACATCAGTGAGAAAAGAACACAGGAGCAGTGAGCATTGAAGCTCTGAAAATATCCCAAAATAGTTCTTGTAAATCAGTAAAGAATACGTCCATACAAATTGCTGGGAATATATGTCATTTTTGTCACAAGATACCCAAAGAGAGGTCTAATAATCAAAATAGTATTTCGCAACCAAAATAAATTGTAATATATCCTTCTCAGCATGGATTAAACTCTTTGAACACTGGAGTAGTCCCCTCTTAGCCAACATGAGAAATCAAAACCATATTGATACGGTTGTGCCCTTTGGTGAGGCATTCATTCTCCTAAGACCCTTGGTATCATGGTCGATTACTTACATGCTAACACAAGCTTTCTTAGCAGTCAGGTCATAACAGTAAATTGCTGTTGGGTCTATAACCAGTTCATCTAGTACACGATTAGTCTATTCCCATATGGTCTACACCCAGCCTGTCTACTAATCATTGTCTACTTATCATTTGGTCTATTGACCAGTAAGGCTAATATTCATCTGGTTTCATTTCAATTTGGTCCAATCTCCCATTTGGTCTAATGACCAGTAAGGCTAATTATTCATCTGGCTTCATTTCAATTTGGTCTAATCTCCCATTTGGTCTAATGACCAGTAAGGCTAATATTCATCTGGTTTCATTTCAATTTGGTCTAATCTCCCATTTGGTCTAATGACCAGTAAGGCTAATATTCATCTGGTTTCATTTCAATTTGGTCTAATCTCCCATTTGGTCTAATGACCAGTAAGGCTAATATTCAATCTGGTTTCATTTCAATTTGGTCTAATCTCCCATTTGGTCTAATGACCAGTAAGGCTAATATTCATCTGGTTTCATTTCAATTTGGTCTAATCTCCCATTTGGTCTATTACTCATTTAGTCTAATTTCCAGTTCGTCTAATGTACATTTTATCTACTATCCAATCGTCTAATGGTCTAATAATTTGTCACTATTTTCACGAAGTGACGGTAGTGAAAACAAAATTGCATTCACTTTGCGTTACGATTTTCCTCACTACCGTCACTTCGTGAAAACAAGGACGAATTATTTAATCATAAATAATAATAATCATTGATAGTAGACTGGCTTTGGTGTAGACCATATGAGAAAAGACTAAGTGGGTAGTCTGGTAGTAGACCAAATGGCAATAAACTGGTAAAAAGATAACATCAAACATATCACATGGGAAAAATTGTGAAGTACCATACCTGATTCCTTGCAGAGAATAAAGATGAAATCAGCCACTGATTCTTTGATTTCAGTTGACGGGTTTGTCATAAAGCGCACCAACCTATAAAGAAAGGTTATCATTAATTCAACAAAATTAACATTTTCAATGAATAAATAAATTACAGTGTTTTTTTAAAGTGTTATGATTTCTTTTATTCCTCTCTTTTTCTCTTCTTCCAGGTTGATAACATGAAAACTATTATCACTTTCCTCCTCTTCTTTTTCTTCTCTTTATTTCTACTTCTCTGGCAGCTAATCAGAGCTCCTCTTCCTCTTTTTTTATTTTTCTTCACTTCCTCCTCCTTTTTCTCCTCCCCCTCCTTATCCTCTTCCCTCCTCCTCCTCCTTCTTCTTCTTCTCCTTGTCCTCCTTCTCCTTCTCTTCCTCTTCCTCCTCCTCCTTCTCCTCCTCCTCCTCCTCCTCCTCCTTCCCCTCCTACTCCCCCTCCTCCTCCTTCCCCTCCTCCTCCCCCTCCTCCTCCTTCCCCTCCTCCTCCCCCTCCTCCTCCTCCACCTCCTCCTCCTCCTCCTTGTCCTCCTTCTCTTCCTCCTCCTCCTCAACCTCCTTCATCTCCTTCTTCTTCATTTATAAGTGTCCCCCTCAGCAAAAACAGCTTTCTAAAGTACAATTTCATGAAAATTTCAGCCCAGATCTACTGTCTAAGTTTCCACATACCCTAACCACTAGACCATAACTTACTTGTTTCTAAGTGAATCTCCTTCTTCAGGTAGGAGGGAGGCATCTCTTAATGGTGGCAAGACCTGGAATTTAGCACAAAAATTAAAATCATCACATACATGAATTTCTACATATGGGACTACGAGCTGAAATGTACATAGGTGAGACGGGATCAAATTTTTAACACTTCAAGAGAAAATTTAGAGTTCAAATTCTACAATCAAACATGCCTGTAGACATCATCTCTAATGATAGCAATAGCAGCAACAAATAATTACATAAATGAATACAAAAATATACAAATATACAAATAAATTCCACCCCCCCCCCAAAAAAAAAAGAAGAGAAAATGAGCAAGAACAAATTGACTCATTACAGTATATTCTTCGAAATTGTGAATGGTGAAATGACTTATTGTATTCACTCTCATAGGACTATTTTATTACCATTTAAACTTTTCAGTGGTTAAAAAAAAAAGTACAGTATCGAATATAATAAATCAGTCACTATAACTTTTCACGTCTAAAAATAGGAGCTCGGTGTATATACAGTTAAACCTGTCTATCTATTAAGGCCACCCAAGGGAAACAGAAAAAGTTTACCACTGTAGATAGGTGGCCTTTCTAAACAGGTTCTACAATGCACATTTCTTTCTCAGGAGAGAGACAGAAAACTTCGCCATTATGGACAGGTATAGAGAGATCGTCACAAGACAGCTTTGACTGTATATACATTCAAACCTGTCTATAGCTAGCGCAAGCGACCACCCAAGGGGAAAACAAAAAAGCATTCTTTATAGACAGGTTCCTCTAGTACAAGTTTCAATGAGAAACCATTTTCAATGGAAACAAAAAATGTGGTCTTTGTAGACAGGTTCCTCTAGTACATGTTTCAATGAGAAACCATTTTCAAAGGGGAACAAAAAAATCTGGTCTTTGTAGACAGGTGGCCACTATTAAAGACAGCTTTGGCTGTATATTTTTTTGTTACCTGTTCTTTGAGATGTTTTCTTATATAGCGGTTGCACCGAGACAGGACACAGAGGGCGCTGATCGCAGGGTTGAGTTGCTCCACGAGAGAATATTGCTTTCCATCTTTGACACCACACTGTAAAATAAACATCAAAGCACGCAGTTATGTACATGTGAAAACACAGTTATGTGCATTTAAGAACGTAATTACAACTGTATGCACGTGTAAGAACAGAGTTATGTACATGTAGGAACACAGTTATTTCCAAATTTATGTTACGTGAGAATGCGAAATATTAGAGCTTACATCTACAAGTTTTTAACACAGACCCCCGATTCAACCAGCCCACCTTCCATTCTTGAGTTACAAAAAAAAAAAAAAAAAATACAAAATTTACAAGGGTATGAATGATTTAGTTGTTAGCTGTAGATAGAGAGAGAGAGGTAATATGGATTACATACTCAAATTCTTTTTTTCCTTGGAATATTCCTGCTCCTCTAGAGAATAGGAAAAGACTGATATAGATTAAGAAACTGAGGTAAGGACAGGGTGTGAAGGAGAGGAAGAGGAGAAAGAGGAGAAAAGGAGAAAGAGGAGAAAAGGAGACAGATAGATGCACAGAGAGAGAGAAAGAGAGAGAAAGAGAGGGGGAGGAAAAGGACAGGTGACATAAAGAGAGAATGGCTCCAAGACTCTTGTTCATGCAGTGAATATATCCCCTATTAGAAAATGAATAGTAAAGAAACCGATATTGAGAGAGACAGAGAGAGAGAGATAGAGAGAGAGAGAGAGAGAGAGAGAGAAGAGAGGAAAAGAGAAGTTGGATGTGTAAAGATATTCAAATCTATTACAAAATGAAATAGTAGAGAAAGAAACCGAGAGAGAGAGAGAGCGCGCAAGAGAAAGAAAAGAGAAATTTAATTTAATTTAATTTAATTAAAATGAGAGTGAGTGAGAGAAAGAAAATGAGAGTGAGTGAGAGAAAGAGAGAGAGAGAGAGAGAGAGAGAGAGAGGAATAGAAAGAGAGTGAGGGAGAGAGAAATAGAGGAGAGAGGGGGATAAAGGAAAAGAGAAGTTGAATATATCCCCTATTAGAAAATTAAATAGTAGAGAAAGAAACAGAGAGAGACAGGGATAGAGAGAGGGAAGAGAGGAAAAAAGAAGTTTGATGAGTAATATTCAAACCTTTTCTATCCTCTTCTCCAGGAATTTGAGTATAGCTGCGATGAGATCCATGCTGTAACCATGGTAAGTGGACGATCCTCCGGTCGCTCCCTGGGGCTCCGGGATGAGTTGCATTACACAGGGTTTGGGTAGTGGCAAGGTTAACATGTTGACTGTGTGGCTGCAATGAAAGATGATAACGTAAACATAGACAATATTTCAATCATATGCAAATCATGCACACCAATTTAAGCAATTGGAGTTACAGTTTTAGTCTGGAATGGTATACAGAGCCAATTCGTTGCTTTGTGACGATTTACATTCACCTCAAATATAATAAAATTATAATGAAATAGTTGGGAGAATTCAGGAATTGATCAGATCAGTTTTTCTCGATTTGTATCATTAATAATGGTCAGTTTTCACTCAAAATTTCAGATTATCTTTAATTGTACATCTAGCATTGAAGCCACTACCTTTTAGCACCATTTTCTCTCATCTTTACAATGTTACCAAGTACCTTTAATATGATAATTGAGTATATGTGGAGGGAATAGCAAAGGCCCAAGGCCTATCAAGCGAGGCTGGGATAAGAAAATAATCAAGCTAATGAATTAAAAGAATTTCATGTATCAAAATATCTAATATAAATATTACTCACCTGTGATAAGCCTCTGTCTTCTCCTCGTTCTCTGCGTCTGAGAGCAGCAGTGCTCGGAATGAAATACCAAGTCTCTTCCAAACTGTGTCATCCTCCTGAAATGATAGAATAAAAGTTCAGAAAGAGGATAACGATGTGTTGTGGAAGGTGATGATTTCTCTTCAAATAATGTACATATATATATATATATATATATACAATCAAACCTGTCTATGTCTACTAAGGCCACCAAAGGGAGGCAATATGGGTGACCACTTTAAACAGGTGGCCTTTGTAGAGAGGTGGTCACTAACACAGAGAAATAGCAGCAACTGTAGGAAACTAAACATAGTACAAGTCTATGATGGTCATCTTTGTCAAATTTACCATTACTTACGCAGCCACCACCATCATACTATCACCATGATCTCCATCCCCACCACCACAATCACCATCATCATCATCATCATCACATCTTTAGCCACTGTCACAACCATCACCACCAACATCTACAACCACCACCACCATCATCACCATCTATGTCACCATAATCACTATTGTCTCCAACATCATCACAACCTCCACCATTACAAACACTACTTGTATTGCTTTGACTACCACCATCACTACCGCTATCACTAAAACCACACCACTTCCACTTCAGCTTCCACCTCTTCCACTATCACAACCATTAAAACTAACACTAAAACCACCACCATGACTACCACTACCACTTTTACTATTGCCACCACTTTCACTACCACCACATCTTCCAAGTTCCACTACCACTACCAGCACCATCACCACCACCATCATTACCACCACCACCACTACCACATTCACTACCACTACATCCACCTCTTCCGGTACAAGATCCTTACCCCTTGTAAGTCCTCCACCTTGACATGCACGATAACATTGAAGAATGTCTTGAATATCTCTCCGACCACTTCCACCTTCACTACCCCTACAACGAACACTAAAACCACTACCACTATTTAAACGCTAAAACCACAACCAATACCATTACGACTACCACTTCCACCATCAATACCACTACAACTAACACTAAAACCACTACCACTAGTTGAATGCAAAATCCAACTTCACTACAACTACTAATACTACTTTTACCATTACTGCCACTACCTTCTACTAACAACATTACCACTACCACTGCCATGACCCCTTCCACTACCACAACCACATTCGCTACCACTACATCCACCTCTTCCGGTATAAGATCCTTACCCCTTGTAAGTCCTCCACCTTGACATGTACGATAATATTGAAGAACGTCTTGAGTATCTCTCCGGCCAGGTCGGCCTGAGCTGCTGTGATGATTTCTCTCTTCTCTGAAGCCCCCATTGTCCCCATGCTCTCCCTGTCTTCAATGTCACAAAGCACCTCCGTCTCCAGCAGACCGGTAAAGATCTCGATTCCCGAGAGTTCTGTTCGAATCTTCGCCCTGAAAATGAATAATATGTATCATTCTAAATATGTGGATATAGAGCTGAGATAGGAACCCATAGTCATAGGAGATAATGAGGGGGTTTCTCCAAAGCCCATTTGTCCCAATGCTATCCCAATCTGTGATGTCACATAGCACCAGTCCTCTATTTCCAGAAAAGCAGTAAGGATTTAAATTCTGGAAAGTTTTGTGTGCGAATCTTCTCCTTGAAATTGAATAAAATTCAGGATGCTTCATAATGTGTTTTTTTAATGCCTGAACTACACATTTTTTACCAATTCCATCTTCTAATGTTAACTCTAAAGATAGATTTGCCGATGGTTTTATCACAGACAGAGATAATATACATGTACATGTTTTATCCAAACAAAACATAACAAAACAAAATACAACAAATAAACCAACAACAAAAGTGAAAAGAAAAAATAAATCATGCTCAACCTGTAAATACTGTTGTCTTATCTTAAAAAGATAATTCAAAAGAAACATTTCACTCAATTTGTCATGACTAACCTAATTAAAGCAATATTTTTGCCTGATATCAGCACATTAAAAATCATGTGAAATGAAAGTGAACAGAAACGCTTTATTGCCAATATCTGGAACAGACAGAACACATACACTGTAGCATGCAAATATACACATTGGTGTTTGGAAATGCAAGTTTGTCAGAAATTGACTTGAACGGAACATGATTTTACTTTACCTCAGATCAGGAGTGAGTGCCGTGAGTAAGAAGAGTAGTCTCATGTCGTAGAACTTGGTTTCCCATGTTACCGTGGAGTCAGAGTATCGCTTTGTACGGGCTAGGATCTTCTCTACACACGTGCTCTCACTGACAAAGAGAGAGAGAAAGAGAGAGAGGGAGAGTTAATCATTAAAGCCTATCTGTACTAGTTTACAGGAGGGATAAGACCACCCTGCAAGGTCACTGACAGGTGGTTATCATCAAATAGCTCTCACTTAACATAAGAAAAAGAGGATCATGGGGGACCAATGGTCACCAATTAGGCATTGTTTGCTATATAGAGGGAGCAAGTAGCTATAAGTAGTGCAGTGGGGCTTTAAAACATTATGAGAATGATTTATATGGCAGGCACCAGGAGCCTTATTCAATTCAGTACGCAGATTGAGTTAGTATTTTACTCACAATTTTACTTGGCTAAGTTATATGTCTTATTTTCGGATCATATCTGAGAATTTTACATCTGCAAGTCGACTTTAAGTCAAAATACTTACTGATATTAAAGTATTGTGACATCACACGGTCAATCCAGAATTATGCACAATTAACGCGTCGCATTGAATGTGCGCTTTTATAAATAAGATAACTGCGTATGATAACCATATGCTTGCCAATCAAGGGCCTTCAATAAAATTGGCTTAAAGGTAAAGACCAGTATTGGAAACGCCCCAATTTCAAAAAATGAAATGAAAGCTCTCATTACCAATCATGTGAAAGAATATGTTTTGACTAATACATGATGATAAAAAATTTGCCGGGAAACCGCCTACTAATTCATATATTTGGTAAATTTGTTTCTCTCATGGTCTGTGAGAGATATAGGGTAGTCCCATATACATCTTTCTGTGTATAGTGCTTGTAACTTTATGAATAATGGGCCAAATTTCTTATCATTTTGATGATTCCAGGACCTTGCAGATGCTAGATGCTAGATGATCAACCTTTTCCGATCGATTCCACAACGTTTCTTTCACAATGCAATCGCATGACCATAACTGGTCTTTACCTTTAAGTCTGCTTGAGAGCTGTCTTAAATCTAGGGAAAAGTGCTTAGCCAGAAGCATCAATTGAATACCACAGTTGGTTAAGTATTTTACCTGAGCCAAAAACTTATTAAAATACTCATATTTCTGACATAACTATTAAAATGACAGGACAAATTAGTTCTGCAGTGACCAATATCTTTTCAGTAGAATCTGAATCATATCTTTTTTTTTAGTAGAGTTCGTCCTGGATTAGCAGTTGTAAACATTGCAGAATTGAGTCAAACTTCTTTTATTTGTATAGGGTTATTCAAAATATTTCAAAGCACTTTTGGAGCTCTCAATAGCGAAACCACTCTGTTTCCATGACATTGCCAGAATTACTAACAGGGTTGCAGGTATACAAATTTGGTTCCAAAAACATGTAACATCCATAAATCTACTGCCAAGGTCACACCAAAACCTTTTAAACTTCGATGTCAGTTTGTTTCTCGAAAGTATTAAAAGATAAACTTGAGTTGTGGTAAAAAAAGAAAATAAATTCTAACTCAACTTACACTGAATATTCAAGATTACAAATAAATGTCATGTGCCAAACAATTTTGGTAGAAGATGTATAATGGCTGAGTAATGAGCATAGAAAGATAAGGAAATCAAGGTTAGTAGCCCCCGACACCATTTGTGTAGTCCCATATACATCCTTCTGTGTACAGTGCATGTTACTTTACCAAGACTGGGCCAAATTTATTATGATTTTGATGACTCCAGAGCCTTGCAGTACACACCAATACTTACATGCTACATGATCAACTTTTTCACACCTTTTCTTTCACAATGCAATCGCATGACCAGAACTCAACTTTATCTTAAAGTACTGGTATTCTTAAATTGTGTTCACATATTGCACTGAGATATATAGCAAGAAAAGAGAGTGGCAATCTTGAGCAAGGAAAGCCAGTTATATGTACCTGCATATTGTCCGCACGTTGGCATTGTTGAACACGAGATTACACAGGCACTTCTGGGCTTCTGTGACAACTGGAGAGGTGAGAGAAAAATAAACACAGAGTTACGGTCACATTGGAAAAATATTCCAGGAAATTCTGCTGGTGGAAAAGCATTTCAAGAGATACTGGCTTTGAATGATTGTATCATGTTTGTTATTCATGTATTCATGTAAAATATAAGGAGGGATGTTTGAATGAATAAAATGTACACAAATTAAAACTTGTAAACATCTTTCAATTAAATGACAACGTTCCCTGCATTTTATGAAAACAGTATTCCCTCATTTTACCCATTTTGCCTTGGTAGAGTTTCAAGACCCGTTCATCACTATTATCATGTATGCTTTATGAACATCTGTTACTACTGCTCGTTACTCCGCTACGACCAATTCGCTTGATAATGATACTTCATATTGTATGCAATATAAATAATAATAATAGCTCGTTCTTATATAGCGCTTTTCAGGACCGGAGGCCCTCTCAAAGCGCTTTACAGATAAGTATATTATTACCCCGGTCATTGGATTCAGGCTTACCCGCACACAATGTATGCACATTCTCCACTCCCTGGGGAGCATTCCAGCCAGGCGTCATTTTTACAAGCACACACTTGCTAATCTAACCACATTAGCTTTCGCATCCTACCGGGTACCCATTTAACACCTGGGTGGAGAGTGGCAAATGTAGATCAATGTCTTGCCAAAGGACATTAGTGCCGCGGTGGGACTTGAACCGCGGACCTTGTGATCCTCAGTCCGGTGACATATCCACTCGTCCACGACACTGTGGCAGTAAGGACGTATTTATATCACAATACTGGGAGTTGTTAGGCTACCGTACAATTTATTGCCGCATGGCTATGCACGACCCGCTGGGCCAAACGGGATGACATTAACAAAATCAACATGCCTCAAGAGGGCAGCAAACAGGACGGCACTGACCTTTAATATCACACTCCTTTGGTTCTTCACTAAGGCCGGCCAGTTTGGCCAGAAGGTGCACGCATTCCTTCTGTTCCAGCTGCAGCATGTTGTATTTATCCCGACTGAATATCTTGAGCGATTCCAGACACAGTAACTGGCATTCCCAGCTGTCCGTTGCCTCCAGCATGGTGACAACATCGCCAACAAATTTCTGATAAAATGGGAAATGAAAAATCAGCGAAACCTGTATATAAAGACCACTCAAGGGAGAAAAAAAAAATTGGTCTTTATAGGCAGGTGTTCTTTAAGTACAGGTTCTGTTAGTACCAGCATGTAAATAACATCACCAACACATTTCTGATAAAAAGGGAGACCAAAAAAAAAAAAATCAGTAATACAGTGAAACCTGTATATAAAGACCACTCAAGGGAGAAATAAAAAGTGTTCTTTATAGGCAGGTGATCTGTAAGTACAGGTTCTTTTAGTATCAGCATGTATATCAATCACATCACCAACAAATTTCATATAAAATGGGAGACGTAAAATCCATAATACAGTAAAACCTGTAAAAAGACCACTCAAAAGAAACTAACAGACATGTTTTTTTTTCTATACAAGTGGACACTAAAGCATGGAGATAGCAATAATCCCAAAGAAACATTTACAAGTCATTTTCATTCATGTTTTTTCCACACAGTATGAATGAAAATAGAATGAAAATGGAATAAAAATTGCCAGTTTGTTCACAAATATAGCGATTGCAACCTTCACTCCACACATTGCCAATTTACTGCTCACTTTCAATTAAATCATTCTATTCATAAATGGCAAAATGAATTGCAACAGAAATGGAATCAACATTGTCTAAAACTTTGTTCATTCTTTTTATATTTAATATAGCATTCTGAATCAAAATAATGCCAAGATGACAATGAAATGGGACGATAAACTCCTATTGGTTTGGGGAAAGATTTGAGATCACGAGATACAAATTTAACTTACCTTTTTGGTTTCCAATTGCACATCTGTGAAAGAGAATGTACCAGCATTCTGTTTCAATGAAAATAGAAAACAAATAAAATAAAATTTAAAGGGGAAGTCTTCCCTAATATTTGATTGGTTTTAATAGAAGCAGAAACATAGAAAAACAGATCTGTGAAAGTTTGAGCAAAATCTGAGAAAGAATAAAAAATGTTAAGAATTGTTGTATTTGTGAAGCTGTGACGCAGTTTGTGAGGTCTTCTTCAACTCACTCTGTACATACACTTCAAAAATTTTCATATTCATAGTTATTGATGACAGAATAGATTTGTTTCATACAGGGGTTAAATCATATAGAAACGTGTTTGCAATAATTATATTTATGGTGCATGTATGATTAAACACTTTCTTTCTGGAAAATGGAATTTCAGATAAAAAAAAACAACAAAGCGAAGAACTTTTAATTAACAAACATCACTATTAAACTATTATTAATTTTACGTTCCGGATTCATCTGTACATGCTACTACATTTTGTTAAGCCAACTTAATCCATTGACTTGGAGAACCAGGAGGATCCCGTATGAAATTTATTGGGACAGAGAAATCAGTAAGTCTGGTCAAACTTTCATACCTCTTTTGTGAATTCTTGCAGCTTGTTGCAGATTTCGGTCTGGTTGCCAGACTCGAAGGCTGGCACAGCCGATACGAGCAGCGTATTCATCTTCGGGACACTGTTTGATACAAGCTTGATTAGTTCCTTGAGGCTTGAGATCCCCCTCTGGGTATTGGCAGAACTTCAAGTTCCTGAAATCAGTTTAATCTGGAAGAAAAACTAGATGGAATTCGACTGCGCGCAGTCGAAAATGATGCCTCCGTCATAGAGCAATTTTACAAACCGAAACGGAAGAAATTTTTCAAATTCAAGTTCAATTGTAATCCATTAACATGTTCTCAGAATATCGTGATTACAAGCAATTTCTCATATACATATATGACCCTTTGATCTTTGACCTCATGACCCTAAAATCTACTCAGTTCATTGGCTCTGCAAGATTTCCTGAGTTAAATAGTAATCCATCTGTCAGTTCTAATGAGAATGCGTCCACAAGCTATTTTTGCATACATAATGAGCCCATGACCTTTGATCTTATGAACCATTCATTGGCTCTGCAAGATACATAAATGATCTAAGTTTGGCAGGAATCCATCAATCTGTTCTAATGATAATACGATCACAAGCTGTTTTTGCATACATAATGAGCCCTGTGACCTTTCACCTTTACCTCATGACCCCAAAATCTAATCAGTTCATCAGCTCTGCAAGTAACATACATGACCTAAGTTTGGCAGGAATCCATCAATCGGTTCTTGAGATAAGGCGATCACGAGCTGTTTTTGCATACACAATGTGCGCTGTGACCTTTGACCTCGTGACCCCAAAATCTAATCAGTTCATTGGCTTTGCAAGATACATACATGACCAAAGTTTGGCAGGAATCCATCAATCGGTTCTTCAGATAACGCGATCACAAGCTGTTTTTGCATACATAATGAGCCCTGTGACCTTTGACCTTTGACCTCGTGACCCCAAAATCTAATCAGTTCATCAGCTCTGCAAGATACTTACATGACCAAAGTTTGGCAGGAATCCATCAATCGGTTGTTCAGATAACGCGATCACAAGCTGTTTTTGCATACATAATGAGCCCTGTAACCTTTGACCTTTGACCTCGTGACCCAAAATGTAATCAGATTGTTTTCCTATAGTGATACACACTATCACTAAGTTTGAAGTTTAAATCTCCAGTGGTTCTTGAGATATCATGATAACAATCTCAATGTATGGAATTTCATAAGTTGACCTCTGTGACCCTTGACCTTTGACATACGTGCTCCAAAATCTAATCAGATCGTCTTCCTATGGTGATACATACTATCCTTAAGTTTGAAGTTTAAATCTCAAATGGTTCTTGAGATATCGCGCTAACAAACTCAATACAAGGAATTTCATAAGTTGACCTCTGTGACCTGTGACCTTTGACCTACGTACTCCAAAATCTAATCAGATCGTCTTCCTATGGTGATAAATACTATTCCCGAGTCTTAGGTTTAAATCTTAAATGGTTCTTGAGATATTGTGATAACGGTCAAACGGGACGGACGGACGGACGTACGGACGGACGTACGGACGTACGGACGGACGGACGTACGGACGTACGGACGGACAACCCGAAAACATGATGCCTCCGGCACCACCTTCGGTGGCGGAGGCATAAAAAGAAATATATAAACAGCGTTATCAATTTTAATTGTTGAACAATACGTTGATGTCAGTTGATATATGATTATTGGTCCTGTGAAGTCCTATGTACCTTATAATTATGTTTAAATGCGATTGCTCTTGAATGTGTTTTTTTCTTCTTCTCTTTCTTCATATCTATGTATTTAAAGTGTCAATTTATACATTTTTATGAACCATTTTTATGCCTGCCTTTTTATTGTATGAAATCCAACTCTGGATGTTGGTTGCAATAAATGAATGAATATATTAGCATTTGTTTTGTGCTTACATTTTATATAAAAATAGTTTTAACAAAAATCAGAGAGAAACAATATCGTGAAAGTTTGAAAAAATATTGGAGATATTGTAGAGATTAATAATTAAATAACAAACAAAAAGGGATTACTAAATCTATTCGGAATGACATATTGACATTGACAGTGTTGACAGCGTATGACGTTGCATCCTGCCATCACCCCTCGTCACGCCTCGGGGTGATATCAGGATGCAACATCCCCTTGAGCCTATAAATCAACTATTCCTCTCACAGCAGTCATTATATCTATAACATTATTAATACTGATCAGTAGGGGTGCTGGTCATTATTCATATTTTTGATCCGCGCATTACCGTTGTCGATGCAAAAAACGGATTCCTCAATGATTTTTTTTAATGCATTTTCCATTGACTTTGTACAGAGACTTTCACGTTGTGAGCGATAAATCCTCGGGAGTACACAGTGAACTGGGGTTATTTATATTTTCTTTTGCGGAAGCCGTTTTTTTTGCATAGCCAGTGGGCGGTTAGGGAACCCGAAACCCACAGAGCGCCGATCAAAAAAAATTCTGCGAAAATTCTTTTAGGTCTAGAGTAAGATCGCCAAACTTCGGACACTTAAGACAAAACGGGGGAAAAAATTAAATTCTTTTTTTAATTATTGAAAGATCAAATATATTATTATTGTGCAAATACTGTTTATGTATATCATGAAAAGAAAATTAGTAAAGGAAATGGAAAACTAGAATTATTTACTTACCCGCCGAACCTTTTTATATGCCAAGCTTCGGACGCACTTGCCAAGCTTCGGACGTTCATGAGTAGCGCACGTATAACGCACGTATAGCGCATAGCGCACGTACAGTGCACGTATAGCGCGCACGCTAAAGTGCGCATTCATCGGAGGTTTGGAAACCGGATCAAAAATGGTACGACGGGGGTAAGTTTGACTGCGTTGATTTCATGAAAAAAGTATTATTTTCTCGTTTTGAGTAGATTTATTTTAGGTAGAACTATCAGAAAGGTGTTTTTCACAACACTCACACAATATTTTGGTGCTAAATCTTACGAAAGCGCTATTTTTTCGTAGTCAAAATGACACTCAATGTTGCCTGTCCGAAGTTTGGAAGAGCGCCATCTTCTGGTAGGGGTACCTGTATAGTACCCCTAGGTCCGTGGTAACGGCCGCCATTAGAAAATTTTCGCGATAGAGTGAAAAAGTATCTCATAAGCTCCCATAATTTTGGCAGAAACCACGTGAAATATGCCAAGGATTTGTTTGTAATCGATATATTGAAGGCTCTATACTTTAACTCCCCTGTTAAGGGACTGTAAAAATCCAACCTGAAATCTGTCTCTGAATTCGATGTTTTTTGTGAGTTTTGCAGACGGCAACCTGCCCTAACTTTCTGTACTAACGATGTAGGTTAGATCTAGTAGTAGTATCAAATGCATGCAAGTTACCCACCTGAGCTAGGCTCATATTTTGTGTTCGAGCCGTCGAAGTAATTTTTGTCCGAAGTTTGGCGGTGTCCGAAGTTTGGTGGTTTTACTCTAGGTCTATTCATTCACTCACAAATTTATTCCTGCATAATCCTAGACCGAATTTTCTGTCTCTTTCGTTCGTTAGCCTCTTATTGGGGTAGGGTCGGCTTTAGAGAGAGCCGACCCTACCCCAATAAGAGGCTAACGAACGAAAGAGAGAGCCGGCCCTACCCCAATAAGAGGCTAACGAACGAAAGAGACGGAAAATTCGGTCTAGCATAATCCTAGACCGAATTTTCCGTCTCTTTCGTTCGTTAGCCTCTTATTGGGGTAGGGTCGGCCGGCTCTCTCTTTAGAGACGGAAACCGTCTATACACATTCCCTTGATAACGCCACGGCCATTTCAGGTCGTAGCGTTTTGCCCCCAAAATCCCCCAAAATGTCATTTTACCTCATGCATTGATTATTTAAAATTAGGAGAAGGTTATACTACATCGGTTCCACTTACCAACTTGACTGAAATAATCCGTTTAATGGTCCCTTTTAAGGATATTATGGGTCAAAATCGACATCCATGTTGAAATCTTGCAAGCCGTGTTAAACTCTCGCTGCACACGGAGTCATCTAAATCAATCTCATCCCTTTTAGTCTACGCCGAAGGCAAAACGATTATGAAGGAAAAACTGTGATAACGCCATTACGAACGTGTAGATGGTGCACAGTTTTTCCTTCATAATCGTTTTGCCTTCGGCGTAGACTAGAAGGGATGAGATTGATTTAGATGACTCCGTGCGCAGCGAGAGTTTAACACGGCTTGCAAGATTTCAACATGGATGTCGATTTTGACCCATAATTTCCTTAAAAGGGACCATTAAACGGATTATTTCAGTCAAGTTGGTAAGTGGAACTGATGTAGTATGAAGGGGTGACCAAAGTTCGCGGACATTTTAGAACACATTACAAAATGTGATATTCGATCTATGATTTCTCACATTCTACACAACTTTATTTATTTCAATTATTACCGAATGGACGGCAAAGTTTTTTATAACAGATTGGTTCAACTAGAAAAATTTACCGTCGAAGGATTTCGGAGATATCGCGATCTAAAAATTCGATGTCTGATCGTGCGTGCGCGCTGCATCTAAAAAAGTCATAAAAACAATGAGACCTAACTTCACGCACGGTGGTTTACAGTTGATTTATCAAAAAATGCGATCCATCAAAAATAAGGTAATATCATAATTTGCAAGGCAAGATATCGTACAATCAGTTAGTACCACTCTTTACTTACAATTTTGAGGATTTCTGATCTCAAAATGAAGATTTCCAGACCCTTATCGGTAAGTTGATAATTTTTCGGAACGGACGCAAATAACTGCAAAATTTGCCGATCTTTTGTCAATATTTTCACAATTTCGCACCCAATTCTAAAGAAAATTTCGTTTCTGGGTAATTTTATGACCATCTTTCCATTGGTGATATCAGATTTTCGAAATCTTACCGATTTTTTGAGAAAGCGAACTTTGGTCACGCGCGAACTTTGGTCACACCGCCATATAACCTTCTCCTAATTTTAAATAATCAATGCATGAGGTAAAATGACATTTTGGGGGATTTTGGGGGATTTTGGGGGCAAAACGCTACGACCTGAAATGGCCGTGGCGTTATCAAGGGAATGTGTATAGACGGTTTCCGTCTCTAAAGAGAGAGCCGACCCTACCCCAATAAGAGGCTAACGAACGAAAGAGACGGAAAATTCGGTCTAGCATAATCCTAGACCGAATCTTCCGTCTCTTTCGTTCGTTAGCCTCTTATTGGGGTAGGGTCGGCCGGCTCTCTCTTTAGAGACGGAAACCGTCTATACACATTCCCTTGATAACGCCACGGCCATTTCAGGTCGTAGCGTTTTGCCCCCAAAATCCCCCAAAATGTCATTTTACCTCATGCATTGATTATTTAAAATTAGATGACTCCGTGCGCAGCGAGAGTTTAACACGGCTTGCAAGATTTCAACATGGATGTCGATTTTGACCCATAATTTCCTAATAAAAGGGACCATTAAATGGATTATTTCAGTCAAGTTGGTAAGTGGAACCGATGTAGTAGGTCTATAACCTTCTCCTAATTTTAAATAATCAATGCATGAGGTAAAATGACATTTTGGGGGATTTTGGGGGATTTTGGGGGCAAAACGCTACGACCTGAAATGGCCGTGGCGTTATCAAGGGAATGTGTATAGACGGTTTCCGTCTCTAAAGAGAGAGCCGACCCTACCCCAATAAGAGGCTAACGAACGAAAGAGACGGAAAATTCGGTCTAGCATAATCCATGCATTCATTTATTCATTCATTCACGTTTTCATTCACTTTTCGCATAATCATTGCCCTGACAAAACGATACGAAAATATCAATTATTTATCAACAACAGAAGCGACGTGCAGACAAGGACAACACCATGAACACTGAAATGTGACTGTCAATCTCTCTCTTGTATCCTTCCTCCGCTCAGCCACAGGTCGGAGATCGTCGGCACTGTGAACATTTTTTCATCCACCGGCGAAGTTTGAACTTCCAAGTTCCAAAGCAAATTACTAGTAATTACAAGTTCTAGGTTCATGGTATATGGATTTAGGGTAACACAAGAAGTTCGAGAAATTTTAAATGAAGTTAGAAATTACCCAAAATTGCCAGCCAAGGAAAGGTCTCTTCACTCTATTGTTGACATCATCAGACATCAGTGACAAGAATGAACATTTACTTTTTTCTCTCAAACGAATGAAGTTAGCTTACTAAAAAGGAGGAGTGAATTATAAGCATAGCATATTATAGTGGAGATCGTTTTACACTTCTAAACGTATATATCTTCAAAAATATTAAAATTCAATTTATTTAAATAACCAATATATTTAGATTATATTTTATTTTTAAAACCTATTTTGATATGTCAATTTAGTGTTTAAATCTTATTGAACAAGATCTACTAATAGTCTAGGCCTATATCCTATTACTGAATACCATTGAAAATAATCGGCTGTGTTCAGATCAGGCCTACACAGAGAGTGATCTCGAACTAATTTTAATAAACGTGCTCTTCGATTGGCTAAGGAGTTGTTCATGCGTTTGCAAGGTCCAATGAAAACAAGGTTTTTATATTATGTGCAAAGTGTAATCAATCGTCGCGAAAACATGATGAAGATGCTCTGTCGCAAAAATGTTGTCTAAATTAATAGGTGAGGAATAGTTTAGTTTTAGTAAGACTAGAGTTTTCCGTATTCAGTTATTGAACTTATTGATTTTAGATATCTGATATTTAAGTGGTGGGTGATTCCAAATTCCTGCATTTTCCGCTGCAGGTCCGGTTGTGTTGTGTCGCGATTGTGTGTAGAGGCTATGTCATGTATAAACTGATAAATAAAGTGTGTACTGCTGTGGATGTGGCATGGGCCATGGCCATGGCCGCCGCGATGATGAAGGGGGCGCGACTTGTTTCAAAATCTAGTCCAGCCAGCAGTAGGGGTGCTGGTCCGAGAATGAGGGTCGTTGGCATAATTGAGGATATTGTTCTAAACGAGGAGAAATCGCGTCCTAAAATAATATGGATCTTGACTTCTGCATTTTCGTGGACATTTTTTCCTTCGGCGCTCTGTGGGTGTAGGGTTCCCGATCGGCGCTGGCAATGCGAAAAACGAATTCCTCGTAGTAAAATGCCCCCAGTTCACTGTCTACTTACCTTTATGAGGTGTTTGTCTTTCCGAGTATTTATCGTAAGTGAGAAACACATCATTCATGGTGCATCATCGCGGAATCCTTTTTTTCGCGGTAATAAGGATCTTCCGCGAAAAAAGCTAACGATACCTATTTTTTAGGACGTGATTTGTTCGCGTTTACAAGGATATCCTTGTTTATGCAGACGATCTTCATTCTCGGACCAGCGCCCCTACTGGCCAGTCTAGTGCTGCATTTGATTGGCTCGAAAGAAACCTATGCGTCATGCGCTAGTCATTAATATTTTTTTTTTGGGGGGGGGGGCTGTATCTTTTGATAGAATCATCAATGAGTCTTGAAATTTTTAATGTGCCCTTCTGAGTAGACTAGTTAATTTTTCAATTATCCAACCATATTAATGGTGAAAAAACGAACTGAAAGCAAGCTGGGTTGGCTAGATTGAAAAAATTTGCGACGGGGGCCCGGTGTAAGGATAATGCAATATCTATAAGATTGGTCAAAAGCAATTTGTACTCCTTCTTTTTAGAATTTTAGTCATACATGTACAGTTCAATATCATGTTTCTATTATCTTGTAGCGCTGAGGGCTTACGAATTGGAACTGTCACTGTGGTATAAAGCACTACTCCACTAGTGACTGTCTCACCCACACCAACAACACATGGTAGACTGCTAGTGGTCAATGCTAATTTGGTAATGCATGTTTGTCTCACTTTGCAGACATGGCTCGTAACTCGGGATCAAAAACGTCTTCAGATCCATGTATTTATTGGAGTAGTGCATTCGTCATTTTTATCATCTTTCTTATGATGCTATTATTCACGGTATGAAATAATTTTGGTTACTTAATTTCTCATTTACAGCATGTAATTGACTAATTGGCAATGGTGTTTGAAAGTAAGTTGATAATTACAACATGTAGGGTCACCTTTGACTTTGGAAAAATTTGGCATCTTGTGGTTGTTGGGTTTTTTTCTTCCAAGAAGTGTTTGTAGTGTTTTTTTTTTAGGTTAATATTATTATCAGTTACATTACAGGTATGTGTAAAATCTAATGTAAACAATGTAATTTTCTCTTTTTGCATGTAAGATAAGGATGGTGATTGATGAAGAATTATAACAGTATCATGTTGCAGAATATGTATGTTCCTATACATGTACAACAATTTACTTTAAAATTCGTACAAGATTTTAGTTTTTTCCTATCTTGAGATACTGGAAAAAAACACTGCAGTTTCAACTGTCGAGCAAAAATTATGTAAAAAAAAACTTGAAGTGGAAATCTCATAATAGTTATGTAGTAGGGTAGAGTGCCCAGTATTCGGTCAGTTAAGGGGAAATCACTAATATTTTGAATTCTTACCTCTTTTATTTGGCAATCTACCCATCAAAAGAAAAGAAATTCATTCCTCTGACAGGATTTTATAGTCACTTAAAATATAGAATAATGATAAGCAAAATACTTCCGAAAGAAGACGGAGCATTTTTCTGCCCCGAATTCGGTCGCGCCGATTAGAATTCGGTCACGCGATTTGTGCGTGGTATCTCCGTTGCGAAGGAGCGTAGCGTATTTGCGCACTATTTTCACACAATTGCGCGATAAAGCACTGAATGTCAATGCGTTGAGCGAATACTGGCCATGCGATACCGCATGGCAAGGGTATCGTATAAATACCTCTTGCACATCGGCAAGTGCGTCATTTGCAAATTCGCTGCGATGGAGCGAACACGGAAGTGATTCTCTTCACACACATACTAAATTCATTGTGACAGCACACGGAGTTGTTTCGAAATAGACTTCTACATATGGCTATGCATGTTAGCGCATGTGCTAAGAGAACGCGGAAGTGCAGAAAGTTGTGCGACACTGACCAATTTCGAGCTAAGTTGGAGATCATTCCGGGGCCCTAAATCTGATTTAATGTTGAGAGTTAAGAAAAATTGTTCAGCTGCCTGATTTGTGCAAGTTTCGTGGCTCATAAATTATTTTTTAAATTGTTACAGCTGTTGAAACGGCTGTCTGACCGAATACTGGGAATTGACCGAATACTGGGCACGCTACCCTAGTAGCAGTAGAAAATAAGATAACAATGATGATTATAATATAATATTAATGATTATAATATAATATTAATGATTATAATATAATATTAATGATTATAATATAATATTAATGATTATAATATAATATTAATGATTATAATATAATATTAATGATTATAATATAATAATAATAATGACAATAATGATAATAATAATTAGAAGAAGGAGGAGGGTGAGGAGGATAAGAAGGAGAAAAAGAATAAGATGAAGGAGAAGAAGGAGAAGAAGAAGAAAGGAGAGGAAGAAGAAGAAGACAATGATAAAGGAAAAGATTTAAAAGAAGAAGTCAGAAGAAGAAGAAGAAGTAGAAGAAGATGATGAAGGAGAAGAAGAAGATGATGAAGGTGAAGAAGAAGAAGAAGGAGGAGGAGGAGGATCCTTTAAACATGTTTTACATACCTTTTTAACTGTAAAACCCATAGAGCTACATGTAGCCCACGTTAAAAAAAAAATGTTTGATGTGTCATTTAATACATTTTAAATGCAAATTATTATATTTTTTAAGGTGATTTGAGCACTTTGCAGCATTATTACCTCTTTTCAGCTCATTCCTACTCATTTTTGCTACCAGTAAAGTGATTCTACAGCTCTTTTGGCTTCAAGTAGATTGATTCTATGCTTCTTTTTGGCTCTTTTGGCTACCAGTACATTGATTATATGCTTCTTTTTTGCTTTTTGGGGCTTCCAGTAAAGTGAATCTACAGCTCTTTTGGCTTCCAGTAGCTCGAATCTAAGCATCTTTTTGGCTCTTTTGGCTTCCAGTAGCCTGACTCTAAGCTTCTTCTGGCCCTTTTGGCTTCCAGTAGCTTGACTCTAAGCTTCTTTTTTGCTCTTTGCGACTCTTTTGTGGCTCTTTGTGGTTATTTTGGCTTTTAGCTGTTGGCCTTTAATAGAACTACCACTCACATTCTTGCAATATGTTTCCCTCTGCAGTTTATTATCAAATGGTGATGGTTTGTGTCCTATGAGCTATCTTTTCCATTGACCCTTTGATGACTGAATTCTCTCATTCCCATAGGCTTTATAATACAGGAGCCACCAGTTTCTGGCTGAAAGGCATATACATGTATAAGAGCATTGGACCATTTTTCCTCAACGCTAATGCCCACTAGTGCCTTAAGAAGCTTGCTAGCATCAAAATGCCTGTAACTCCAAAAATATGTGCGAATTTGAAATGAAACTACTCTATTTCGGTTACTTGGGGTCCAATTTCTTTTTTTTCATTTATTAGTCAATAAAAGGAAAAATTCATTTGATGTTTTAACAAGAATGGTATAACACAAAAAGTACAATCAATATCATGAAAGATAGCTACCGAAAAAGAAGATACACCTTTCTGCCAGCCACAACCTGGACTTAAAGCCCCACTGCACTACTTACAGCTGCTTGCGCCCTCTATATAGCAAACAATGCCTAATAAGTGACCATTGGTCCCCCATGATCCTCTTTTTCTAATGTTAAGTGAGAGCCGATTTGATGAGATAACCACCTGTCTGTGACCTTGCTGGGTGGTCTAATCCCTCCTGTAAACTAGTACAGATGGGCTTTAAGTTTAAGACCTCAGTATTTTGATAACGGTATTTGTATTTGTCTCAATTTAGATGTATGGACTGCAACTGCATATCCAGTGCCTAGAAATGCTGGTCAAGCCACACAAGATAGACTATTAAAGGACTGCCAGTAAGCAGCAGTTTGATCCAACGTCCCACTCCACAAAGCCCCCCACCATGGGGAAGAAGAAAGACAGGGTCATGCCAGGCCCGGGCAAAAGACGAACCGTGCTCCAGATCGAAGGACCCTCCGTCAGCAGCAAGAAAGGTAAGAGCAGTCATAGGACGCATTCTCCTGTTACAACAGACCTGGGGGTGTTTCACAAAGATCCTAAGTTGAACTTATCTCTAAGTTGGACTTAACAATTATGGAAAGTCTCTGAAAATATTTTGTAAAATTGACCGGCTGGGTGTTTCGCCGCTAAATATTTACTCACGAATTGGGCACCCTCCCCTGCCTATTTATGGCATTGTTTAACAATGTTTCCAGTTTTACAAATCTAAGATGCGTGGCCCTATGTGTTATCAGTGTATGTGATCTGGTGTCATATTGAAGGCCTAAAAAAATTGCCTTTCAAAATGATCATGAACTCTTCAAAAAGTAAAAATCCTTGAATGACCGGTTTACCATACCGTATTTGCCGGCGTAAAGGCCGCACCGCCGTATAGGCCGCACCCCCAACTTTGACATTTCGTAGAGGAAAAAAAAAACTACAACAAAAAAAAAAAAAAAAAAAAAAAAAAAAAGAAAAAAAAAAAGAGAAAAAAAAAACAGACCAAACAAAATGATCGTAATTTTCTTGTAGAACACTCTTTTTTTTTTACAAACTATACCAAATTCATCAATATTCTTATAAATCAACAAGAAGTTAACCTCAAAAATGATCATAATTTAGCAGATCTTCATCGACTTTTAAGCTAGTACTGTATCGTACGCAGATTTGGTATCCTACAATACCCCTTCCTCGATGTGCGGTGTAATCCGAAATAGCATTTTTCGACCTGCGCAGTTGCGTTGCGCGGCAGCTAGCTCCGTAAGTAACGGCCTGTCCCTTTGTTTACTTTTTGGCGATGCAATGGTATGGACTTAGATCTAGATCTATCGGCAGATTTTATTAGAAAAATAAGTTTTTTCGTCTTCATGTCAACTATGCAACATAAACTTGTCGGTAAGTTGTGTGGAGTTATTCTAGAATTGTCCTGTACAGTTGTCTAGTCATGCTACCGTTCCTATAGTCCCATACGTGCAAATGGACGTGATGTTTTGACCGCTGAATTTTGTTGTTGTTGCGTATACGCCGCACCCCGACTTTTTGAGTTTTTCTCACCCGAAAATACTGCGGCCTTTACGCCGGAAAATACGGTACTTAATTTCCCCAATAGACTGTAGTGTTATAAAAACTGTTTTTGAAATTCCGAATTCCAATCATAAATATCTTGATAATCAAACAGGCAATGGGCTTGTAAAAGTCATGGGATTTATATCTGACCTAAAGGTTTATAATTATGATTGCAGCATGAGCTAAATCCAGGATTTTGTTTAGAATCAGAGGCAAAGTTAGTCAATCACTTCATTAAATAATAATAAATTGGCGCTTTACACATATTACCCTGGTCGTAGCCGAGCTGCCAAAGTAACTAGCGCTCAAGCATATCAGGTACCCATTTACACCTGGGTGGAGAGTGGCAAATGTAGATTAACGTCTTGCCAAAGGACATTAGTGCTGCGACGGGACTTGAACCCTGTACCTTGTGATCTGCAGTCAGGTGACTTATCCACTAGTCCACAACACCTCTGACCTCATCGGAATCTTTTTGATATAGGTTATGGACCGAGCTCTGGGGCCAACGCCCTCAGCGGCTTGATGGCCAACTACGGTGACAGTGATGACGAGCAGGAATACACCACCCCGACGTACACTGACCCCAAACCTGCCGACGCCCCAGCCAAGCCCAAGAATGCAATGGATGCCAAGCTGGCAGATTTCTTAGCTGTAAGTACAGTGAAACCTGCGTACATCTTTATAGGCAGGTGGTATTTGAGCACAGATTTGTAAAGTACAAGTTTCAATGAGAAACTAGGAAAGTGAAGTGCAACCTGCATATAAAAATCACTTGAGAATGACAAGAGAGTGGTCTTTATAGGCAGGTGGTATTTGTGCACCGATTTGTAAAGTACAGGTTTCAATGAGAAACAAGGGAAATCATGTTTCCTTAGCTGTAAGTACAGTGAAACAGGTCACTCGAGAGTGACAAGAAAGTGGTCTTTATAGGCAGGTGGTATTTGTAAAGTACAGGTTTCAATGAGAAACAAGGGAAATATGAATGTGGTCTTTATAGGCAGGGGATCTTTCTGTATAGGTTGTCACTAAAGCACTAAAATTTATCTACTGCCCACAGGCAAGGAACAATTTAAGGGCGATCCAACCTTTGTGATTACTTGAAAATTTATGGAGGCAGACAAGAATAAGATACACAGAGAGGTGAAAGTTTGAAAAAATTGGATCGATTATAAGAAAGTTATGAATCTTTGAATTATGAGATCAGTAAGGCTATGCGAATCTTAAATAGTCTCCTTTGTCAGTAATAGTAATCAGTGATACTAAGAATTCCGAGCATTAATGCCTCACATTTAATTTCCTACAAATTCCTTTCAGTATAATTTCACAGGATATTTTATAATTATTTGTCCATTTACAGTCTTTTGTGAGAAGTTTTACAGGATGAAGGTGATCAATAATTTGTACAATATTTGCCTCTTTTTAAATCCAAAGTGATCCATTCTTTTCCTTTTTGTTGTGGTTACTAGAAAGTTTTATTTTAATAGATATCATAACCTATTGGTTTCCTTTGCTTTCTTATTCCAGGAGATTGATGCATTGGACACCGCCTCCAACAGTCCAACCGGAGAGATGGTGGATGGAAAACCGACAAAAGACGAATCCGTTGAGGGGAAACCCCTAAATTCAGAAGAGCCTGCTGCAACGGATCCCCAGGGGTTAGTGGGAAACACCCAGGCGGTGGCCGGGGCAGAGGCAGAGGCAGGGGTAGAGAACCCTGAACTCACAGGTAACGCAACATTTAACCCATTGCCTCTAGGAACCGGGTGATCTTTGTATAAAACCCATGAGAATAGGAGAATTAAGTAGTCTATGGGTTTAAAGATAAAGTTGAGTACTGGGCCCCATTTCACAAAACTTGTCATCAGTGATAAATGACAGTTTTGGTTTTAAGCTAGTGAAATCCTTCCTTCTGATTAGTTGTCGGCAGATTTTTTTTCACTAATTTTTGTTTGTCATTGAAAAAAGGCTTTGTGAAACGGGTCCCTGATCATGTGATTACGTTTTGAAAGAATAGGTTGATTGTGTAGTGCATGAGAATTTATGTATCCCTCGAGGATTTAGAATTATCCAAATGAAGAGATAGTGACTCAATCTTGCCGGAACTCACATGCACACAGAAACGGGTATGTGGGACATGAGGACTGTACACACATGTGGCTTGAAAATATGGTCCAAACTTTTCAGCTATTCCTTGTCATATTTCGAATATGATGGTATTTGAATAGCAATCATTTTTTTCAGGATAAATTTATGCCAAGATATGATTCCAAGCTGATAAACAATGAATGAAAAAGATAACAAATCACTTTTCACATTTACCAGAAATCAACGTTTTGTTAATGTCGTGTGTGTTTGCTTTTTATTCACAGCTGTTGGGGAGTGGCAAGAGTTACTGGATGAGAACACTAATTGTGTCTATTATTGGAACATGTATAGTAATGAAGTGACATGGGAAATGCCTGAGGCATTCAAACTCCAACAAGAGCAGCTGGCTGCAGCCGGCACAACCCTTCCTGTCGCATCGGACGCGAATGCAGTAGATACAGGCGAATTGAATCTTCCAGCCGTGAATGCTGCAGAGTCGAACGCAATGGACACACAAAACGGCGATGTCGCCAGTGTGCTAATTCCAAATGGGGTCGCGTCCGAGGATCTCCTTGCGGTAATGACGGCAGATGTTGGCGAAGTCGCCAAAGACGAGATCGAGAAACTCCCCGTGTATGGGTCAGCGAGAGCGAACTACCAGTTGGATCCAGTGCCTGATGAGCTGGCGGATATCATGAAGGACGATTTGAAATCGCAGGAAGATGTCGACGAGGAGCATGAGGAGGAGGAGGAGGTTATCGCTCCCATCTCGCGGAAACCCAAGCTGAACTACGTCTCGCAATTTACCAAAGGGGAGACCTTACTCCCAGCAAGTACGGACGCAAAGACAAGCAAACCAGAGGAAAGCATTGATGAACGGACTGAGAATGTTAAGGAGAAAAGCGATGATGAGGAGGAGGAGGATGAGGAGGAGGAGGGGGATGATTCATCCGATGATGGAAGATATGATCTTCATCCTGAATCGGAGATGGAAGACGAGGAGGAGGAGAAGAAGGAGAAGGATGAGCTTTATGCTGTTGATATGTTTGCTGATGAGATGGACGACATTGACACACAGCTTGAGATGGCTTTAGAAAAGAAAAAGGTAAATACTGAAATACCTTATATATTTTGAAATTTTGAATAAAACAATATAATCCAGAACAAAACAGAGTTTGTATGCTATTTTAGTAGAACTTGGCAGCTAAAAGAACAGCCAGGTGCCCCTCCCTCTCTGACTTGATAAAGCTACCATTGGTTAGAAATGAGACACCATTTTCAAAAATACATTCTAATGAGTACGTGAACATCCTTGAACATGGTGGGTGGATGGTAATTAAAACTACCAAATAACTTCAAAATGGCAATCATAAAAACTTTGTCTTTAGCCAACCGATTTATGAGACAACTCATAAATAGATTATTTTCCATCCGTCTCAATTGTTACTCTTCATTATCCTTCTCTCATCTGCCTGTATCCCTCTCTCTTTCTTGCTCTCTCTCTCTTTCTCTCTCTCTCTCTCTCTTTTCTCTTGCTCTCTTTCTCTCTCTCTTTCTCTCTTGCTTTCTTTCTTTCACTCTTGCTCTCTTTCTTTCTTTGTCTTTCTCTTTTTCTCTTTCTCTCCATTTCTTTCTCTTTCTTTTTCTCTTTCTTTCTCTCTCTCTTTCTTTCTCTCTCTCTCTCTCTCTCTCTCTCTTTCTCTTTCTCTTTCTCTCTTGCTCTCTCTCTCTCTATCTCTCACAGGCGGAGTTGAAGGAATTGGAAGAGGCCGAAGAGAAGAAGTCGCCGGAGCCCCCGCAGTCTGAGAAAAGCAAGAAACGCAAATCAGACGTGGCAGATATGGCCAGCATCTACGGTAAGGCACGCTCATTGAAATCAACCATCGCCCTATCATCCTTCATGGCAATCCAGTCTCCTGTGTTTTATTTAGGAAACCCTGGGGGGGGTGGGGTATTTCACAAAGACTAACAATTGAACTATGGCACGCAATTCATGCCACTGGTTGCTCTCATAATTGGTCTTTCAAAAGACGTCACATATCTACAGAATTTACATTTTTCGACAATTCAGAAAAAAAGTTACTTACATTTTAAACTTAAGTTACATTTAAGACTAGGACTCGTACTACGGTAGGCGACTTATGCCCTTTAAAGTCTTGAACCAGATGTGTAATTAGAGGAAAAAACCTTAGAAATTATGATCTTATTATTATTTGTGACCACAATTTGTACGTCCCTTGAGAGACTAATGCCAGGAATGGTGAGTCTGAGAGCAACCAGTAGCATGATGCGTTGATTTATCAAGGTTTAAGAAGAAGCGATTAGAGAACTTGGCAGGGAAGCAGTAAAGCTCTGGAACAACTGAAGACCAGTGTACAATGTGATTCCCAAGACATACTCATACAAATTTTACTTCTGCCACGACATTGATGTGAACTATATTAGTCAATCAATGTTGTATTTCCATTTTCTGTTCAGATGAGAGTGGGAGCGTTGATCTATCAAGGTTTAAGAAGAAGCGATTGGAGAACTTGGCGGGGAAGCAGAAGAGCGCCGGAAACACGCAGGAAACTGGTATTCAGTGCGACCTCCAGGATGAACTCACACCGGAGGAGAAAGACAAGGCCAAGGAAAAAAAGAAGAAAAGGGAAGAGAAAGGAAAGAAGGTAAGTTCAAAATATGAATATGAAAATGCAAAATGATGTATGTCATCATACTAATTCACAATATCAGCAGTAGTTGTGTTATTCCATCAGGGATATATGGGTAAGGTCGTGATTTAGGTTTTGGGATTAGAGTGATGAATATTTCTTTATTTTCAACATAAATTCCCAACTTCGCAGATACTGAACTGGCGACTTGTTTTCTAATGTGGTTGGGTGAGCAAGTGTGCGCTTGAAAAATGGCGACTGGCCGGAATGCTCCCCAGGGAGTGGACAATGTGCATACATTGTGTGTGGGTAAGCCTGAATCCGATGACCGGGGTAATAATATATACTGTGCCTAGAAACCAAGTATTAGGCCGCCGTTATAAATGTGATCAATTATTATTATTGTAATTTATATACCTCACTTAAGTAATCCAGCAATCTGATTGGTCGAAATTGCATTCATAAACTTTAACTGTTCCTGTAAAAACAGACCTATTTTCCCAATAACCATGGTTATTGGGAAAATAGGTCAGTCTCCATGGTTACCCCATAGGTTTACATGTTAAAAAATGGTTTGAGCGATCGAGGATACCGTACGTGTGCGAAGAATTGGTCAGTAATTTCAATACAATTGAATCTCGATCGATCTTACCGACAATTTTATCTTGCATTGTTGACATGAAGACGAAAATAAACTTCCAAAAACAAAAAAACAACATCTGCCGATAGATCCTGATCTAAGTTCGTGCCAATATGCATTGCAAAACTAAAAGAAGGGCCCGATTAATGGAGCAGCCGCGAATCATCAATCACGCGAAGCCGTTTTAAATCCATTTTCATGTATATATTAGAGAAAACTGATAAGTATGGTAACAGAGCGCGATAGCCGTGCGGTTTAAGGTGCTGATTTTAGATACATCATCTTTTGTACGCAAGAGATCGAATCCCATCTTCGACAAAAGTTTTTTATTTTTTATTTTTTTTTTATTTTTTTTTTTGGCATATAAAAGTATTAATGACTGCTTTAATATTCGAGAAATAGTTGTTTTTATACGCTCTCGGGAAGGTTACAATTGGGCTATTGCCCTCGGCACGCCTCGGGGCAATAGCACAATTCTAACCTTCCCTTGAGCGTATAAAAACAACTATTTCTCTCAAAGCAGTCATTAATACTATAATATTTCATGGCATTTTCATTTGCGTTTTCCAGGAGGAGATCGTTGAGGTGGTCTCCACCATGATGAACAAACTGGAGTTCCTTGGAATCTCCACCAAGGGCCTCAACAAGTTCCAGGTCTTGCTCATAGAAATGGAGGTGAGTAAAACAAAATATGGAAAGGGATGGAAAATGAAATTATAAAGAAAATACAGCTTTAAAGGGGTCCGATAACTTTGTCTTAGATCCTTAAAAAAAAACACCTTGATTTAGCTCATGCTGCAATGATAATTATAAACCTTTAGGTCAGTCAGGAACTCCATGACTTTTACAAGCTGATCGCCTGTCTGATTATCAAGGTATTTATGATTGAAAATCGAAATTAAATTTTGCGTTTGCCAAACTGTTTTCATAACACTACAGTCTATTGGGAAAAAAGGAGTATGGTAATACCGGTCACTTAAAGGTTTTTACTTTTTTGAGGCACTTCTTGATCATTTTGAAGTGCTAATTTTTTAGGGCTTCAATATATCACCATATCACAGACACTTTGGGCTGTGCATCTCAGATTTAACATTGTTAAATGATGCCTTTAAGGGGGTATCTCACTGAGCGGTGAATGCTTACGAAAGTTGCAAATTTGTATTCGCCAACAAATGTTGGCGAAAATCAGGGTTCGCCTCTGCGACATTTAGCGACAATTAGCAACATTTAACCGATTTGTTTGCCAAAGGCAGTTGGCGACTATTAACAACTGTAAGCGAATGTTAGCGACAGTTTTTGCGAAAATTAGCAACTATTTGCCAATCTTTCGCCACTATTTGTGAAAGTTTGGGACCTTTTGCTAACTCCTGGTGCTCTATTTCCCTTGAGTGGTCTTTATAAACAGGTTTCACTGTATTCTTGTGAATATTGTCAAGGGGGCATACATGTGGTCAGGACTACGTGTAAAAATTTGTGTTTGGGGCATGTTTTGGGTTTTTACAGACGTGTATCAATCAGATGATTATTTACTTCTGGGTTTCGAGCCTGCGTCTTTGGCTGAATCAGTTTGTAACTTCCATTGTTAGCTGGATTACAGGCGCATGCCACAACGCCCAGCTTTGTTTTGTGTGAGGGTTGTTTTTAAAGTCTCTTCTCTCTCTCTCTCGCTCGCAGACTCGGATCCAGGATTGGAGGGAGGGGTTCCTGGAGAGCAAGCAGCTCCTGCAGCGCCTGGAGACGTCCGACTGGGAGCTCCAGCGCTACGAGACGGAGGCCGCCCCCGAAGGCTGGCTCTGCTCATGGGACAGGTACGGTCAAACGACTTCTCACTTTCAACAGCGCCCCCTCTTGTTGGCGACTGGATGAATGAATGAAATTGAAAATATTGAACAGTAGACTCTGTCCCGAGTGGCCATTGCTCTGGTGTGCGAACCTTAGCAGTGTGGTTCACCCTCGCCTGTGGAAGGTGTTCGGGTGGAGCACCATTAACGACTCTGTATTAACAATGATGCCAAGACACTTTTCATTACTGTGTGCAGTTGCTATGTGTTTTTTCTCTTTCCCCTTCCCCGTGAATTCCCATCATTTTCCCATGACCCCTTGCCTGTCGATTAACTCATTCCTCCTGTTTCCCCCTTTATGCCCCCTCCCCCGGCCTAATTCACTCTCACAGGGATACATGAAGATTTTTTTGTAAAGACTTTTTGAGACTATTCAAGATTTTTCGGATTACAAGCCTTAGAGCTGAAAAAAGACAAGGGTTTTGTCAAAAGATATGAAATCCAAAATAAATTAGAAATTTGTTATATCAGTTCGTTCACAAGCTTTTTTATTGGAACTTAGTGAAATTCATTTCCATACTTCCATTTGAAATCTAAAATCTGAATACTTTCCGGACTATCATGTGTAGGCCAAAGAAATTGAAAGGGAACAGAAACAAATTATGCTAGATTTACATTTAGTTGAACATATAGGGGAAGAAAGCTAATGAATTTCAAAAGGAGCAGAAAGCATTTCCTATCAATTTTTTTTTCTTGTTTCAAAATTTGTTCCCTTTGGGTCTCCTATTCATCAGTCGACCCCCCCCCCCCATCCAATCCACGTCCCTCCCTTCCCACAACACAAGCCTCTTTTCTCTCCATTGCCAAGAAAAGAATAAAAAATGAAAGAAGAACAAAAAGAAATTGTGTTTTAAAAGTCACCAAGATGGTGCAAGCAGGATGCGGCACTTCAGAAGGCATCAAGGATTGTCCATCGGCGAGGATGCAGAACTCAGCAACACCAGTGAGAAGATGTTCCGGTGCGGTCAGTCAAAAACAAATCTTTCTACCATTTTTCTATTCAGTTATTGTTATGTTTGATGATATTGTTGAATGTGAATGTGTGAATGTTACATTTTCTGAAATTTTAAACTCACATAAAATTAAATTCTTTGCAAGTATTTCAATAAAAGACATAATTTTTGTGTGGAAAAGCAGAGATTTTTGTATCTTTATCATGTTGCTGATTTAAAGATTACAATGATTATTTTCTTTTTATACACCCTTGCCATCAAACCCAGCGGTAAATGAATTTAGCGAGTGCAGAAATGATTCATTTTTCTGCTCGTGGAGGTTTCAATTATTTTTCAGGAAATGCAACATTCATCAACGATCAATGCTATGTATTTTGTTTGGACATGTTCCAGACCTTCATGAATAAACGTTTACTCAATGATTATTCAAGAGTGAATGTATATTCATCAGTGAATCATGTTTCATGTGACCTGAATATTCATGAGCAGTGAATATTCATAATGAACATGGAAATTTGCTTTTGTGTTCTAACATGATGCCATCTGCACATTGATTTTTTTCCCCTTCAAATGTGCATTTGAATCCCAGGACCAATCCCACAAAAATTGCAACAAACCCCAAGTCCCTAGTTTTCTTTGTTCTCAAAAATGATTACAACACGGTCAAAATTTATCAATAAAATTGGCTGTGCATGAATTCAGCTCAGCTTGTGCTGGAAAGGGATCATTTTGCATTATCGGAAATTTGCACTTTTCTGTCATTGAGGATTTTAACCCTTTTTGAAATGAAAAGATGCCTGAAAACTGGGATTTTAATTTTTTTTCAAAAAACGTATATGTATTGGATTTCATTTGTGTCAGTGATATTAAATGACTTACTACATCTTGCTTGGAATTCATCTCATTTCTAGGTTCTCATTCTCTCGATTTCTCTCTCTCTTTCCTTCTCTCCCTTTTTCTCCCATCCTTCCTCACCCAACCGTGCACTCTCCTGTCTGCCGCCCTCTTGTGACCACCAGGACGCACAAGCAGTACTACTACACCAACATGGCGACCAACGAATCGCAGTGGGACTACCCGTTGGAGGCTGCGGATGAAGACGCGAAAGGGGCGGAGTCGACGATTACGAGGGAGGAGACGAGGAGTGCGTTCAGCTGTGCTGCTGCCGCTGACCGAGGATCGGTGAACAGCGGTGGGAATAGCGGAGAGGAGTCAATGGACGAGGGCGACACCTCAGGTAAAGAAAATAATTGATAAGGGTAATTGCCCTGTATGTATATACTGAATTTAAAGCCCCACTGTACTAGTTGTAGCTACTTGCTCCCTCTATATAGAAAACTTCCCCAATCGGTGCCTGTTGGTCCCCCATGATCCTCTTTTTTATGTTAAAAGAGAGCTGAGTTGATTAGATAGCCACCTGTCGGTGACTTTGCTGGGTGGTCTAATACCTTCTGGTCCAACTAGTTCAGACAGCCTTTAATTCAATTTATTTTCTTTTACAACATACAAATCAAATTACATTTCAGAGATACAACATATTAACAATTTTGTTGAACGTGTACACAATGTAATAATTATAAAAAATACTAAGATTAAAACAAAATGTAACTGATAACACACTACCATGAATTATCCATTGAAGAAATCTGCAGATATGAATGAGAAACACTGTTCAATAAAAGTAGAAAAGTGGCCTTTTTGGACAGATAATCATTTTATACCCCTGGCTTTTTAAGCAGCTGTGACTAAAAATATATTTCATAGTACTAATAGGTTATGGGTGGTCAGCCATTCGCTTCAGCAACAATTGGTTTGGGCTTTATACGGCTAGGCTGGTTGCAATTGGGTTTAGGATAGGTTTAGGGTTAAGATTTGGGTTAGGGTTAGGCGTAGTGTTATGCATCAGGTTTGAAATAAGGAACTCGGTCATTTAAAGAAGATGCTGTGGAGCAGTTGTTGCAGGAGTATATGCCGTACAACCACTTTACAATGAGTCTCATAAAATATATGGTCATCGTTAGAATGTTGAATGGTTAGATGGAAATTGCAATATCCAGTGGTTTGCTGCCATAGTTATCAATGATCCAAACAAAGAAAAAAACATAAAATGGTCAGTCAAATAAGAAGCAAATATGAAACCTCTGGGAGTTTGATGCTGGCGAGAGCTCTTTTTGTTGGTGTTATAGTTTGATTTTCATCTAAGTTTTTGTTTCTTTAGTCATTTGTTTCCATGCTCTTTCTTTAAACAGATGATGAGCCAGCCCTTCCTAAACCAGCAGAGATCCAGCTTCCACCTGCCCTTCCCCACTCGCCGACCCCGCCCCTACCCCCTATCCCTCCAGAGGAAGCAGAATCACCCCTCCCTCCCCCTCCTCTACCAGACGGCCCACCGCCGCCTCCACCACCTGGAGAAGAACCGGCTCTACCCCCATTACCCCCAAGCCCACCACCGTCCACCCCACCACCAGCACCTCCCCCGGAGGAAGGGGACACCATTCGACCCCTCACCCCGCCCCCATTCCTGACTGCCGCCTTGGCACAACCCCCTCCCCCACCCCAGACATCGGCAGTGGTGATAGGGAAACCCCAGGTCCTCTACTCGGCGCCTGCAATGACCACGGGTGCCGCCACCATAGCTGCTGCACCGGTACTGGCGGCACCAGCTACAGCAGCCCCGGCACCGCCAGTACCTCAGCAACCAACTGCACCCCCTGCTCGGAGTAAAAAGAAAAAGAAGAAAGAGAAAGAGGTAAGATAACAATACAATATTTGAGCATACAAAAGTCCAGAGGCATTACAAAATCAATAAGCACATCATTGAGAATTAGATGCTAGAAGTAGATGTATTCATATCCCTTTGATAATCAACATCAAGTTCTCTAATATTTCTGGTTGTCCATTAATCCTCAGTTACATTATACTATAGAAAAAACTTCTAGCTTTACATGTATATGCTCTCTATCAAGCCTAGGGAGTGTTTCACAAAGACTTAGATATACTTTAAGTTGGACTTGAATATGGCAGGCCTTTCATGCCACTGTTTGCTCTCACCATTACGATCTTTAGATGTGTTTTCCCCCCTACTAAGCCCAAATAAGATCCCTCTCCCTTGGTATCTGATTTAAATAATTTGTGGGTTGGTCGATTTATATGTATACTTATTCAGTATTACTAAATGGCATTTCATCACTTGGTTTTCATCCCCCCCCCCTCCCTCCCCCTCGCCCCACCCTTAGCCTAAGTTGGTGAAAAGCAAACTCCCTCACTCCCTGGTCTCCAAGTGGAGCAAGATCAAGGAAGAGCAGGAGAAGGAGATGGAGGAGAGCGAGGAGAGTGAGGAGGAGGACCTTGGAGTCCGCAATAAGAAGATAATCAGCGACTGGAAGAAGGAGCAGTTGGTCATGTAAGTTAAACCTATATTGTTAAGCTAAACAATAGTAGGCCAAGTACATTTCCTTGAGGGATACCACACATTTTGAATATAGCTTGAGAGTTTTTCACAGATTTGAAAATGCAGTTAATTTTGATAAAGCGCATGGAATTATTTTACATTATAAACAACAATGGTCCATTGAGGCAGCCCTGAGGGACCCCACCTGTATTTTTGCTACCCCTTCGTTTTTCACCTGCAATAAAACCAAGAATGATGACTAGTCATAAGTCACATTACAAGTCATAAGAGTGATTTCAAATGGACTCCATACAATAGCAACCATCTCTATAATCTTGGTTTCCATCACCTTTCAGACAGGATATTATCCAACAGGTCCGTTCCAGAGATAATGATAACAATAATGATAAATATAATTTTACACAGCGCATAATACTCAAACAAGATAGATAATACCTTAAATACTAAAATTACTTTTATTTTCCTCTATTTTTTGCAGGGGCAAAACGAAGCATAACGCCAACTTCCAGCAAATCCAGGGTGACTGGAGAGAGAGGCTAAAACGAAAAAACAAACCATGATAACTGTTACCACATCGGTATTTTTGCCTTTCATGAAGCAGGTTTACATGTTTACATCTATTTGTATCTCTCTTGTGACCCTGTAGTCAGACTGAAACGTCGCTGATAGATATCCGTCACTTTTTGTTATTAGGTGTTGGATTGAAGATTGTAAGATATGACAAATAAGATAGAGCCAGAGAGGGAGAGAGAGATTGAAAGAGAGAGAGAGAAAGAGAGAGAAAAGCCAGAGAGTTTAAAGCATAGTTTTTAGTAGCATGCGTAATTGCTCGTAATTTACAGAAGTACAACAACTTTTATGACAACACCAGATGAATATTTGTCATCCAATGTTTAAAAGCAATTTCAACTATTGTACGTTAGGATAACATAACATGTTTCTGTTAAACCAGACATTCACATGAGTCTTCTTGTTAACAAACATGTATAAATTTGTGTGATGGAGCCTTATTTGTGAGCTTCTTCCCGATCAGTGGGAGCATTCTGGTATATGGGTCAAAACTCAATTGTCCTACTCGATCCTTTGACGAGGTCTTTTACCCTCACTTTTCCCTTCTCGACCAAGGTGTATTTAATTGGTACATACCAATACTGAGGAAATTACGATTGCAAGGCCCTCTGGAAGAACAGTATTGATATCAATGAGTCTTCCCTGGGTAAATAAAATTATTATCATAATTATCTGTTAATAGTCGTAAGATAATTGAAGGCACACTACATTCAGTTTTTTGAAAGTGACAGGTTGGCAGCTCTGTACATAGGGTTATCAGGTTATCAATTCTTGTTAGGAGTCGATATGGTCATTGTAAAAAAAAAATTCAAACCATGTCATTTTTTCTGTGGGTCAAATTGAACATGCTATTGCTTATCGTATTGCTGTATATGAAGCGGAAATATAAAGCATATAATCATCATTAGTGACTCATAATTGTATTATTTTGCCATGGACATCAGGACACATGCATACTACGCTTATGGAAGTTTAAACTATGGATTAAAGGGTGATTGCCGTCAGTTTCCATGTGCAGAAGGTCATAATCACTGACACCTGACTTGGTCACTTGGTGGAAATACTGTTAATGGATGTACAAGTCTTGCACATAGCAAATCCGGGGTCCCATCAAGAAATACCTTCTAGTCACTCAAAGAGTCTTCGGTGAAGGAATTGTAAGATGATGAATTCTCCATATGGCGCGATTGGTTAAAAATGCAGGACATTACCTAAGGCCTTTTGGTCATAGAACTGAAGGCTAATCCTTGTGATTGATGATGCCTGTTGTTGGGTAAACACATGAATGGTGTCAAAATGCCCATGAGAGCCCACTACCATAACCCGCTCTTTGAGGATTCTGGCCATTGCTTATCATGTACCCACATGTTGAAATGTCAAATACAGACAGTCCATAAAAATTTGATACAATGTAGTGTGTTATGTTTCTGCTGTTAATATCTTTCATGTTGCATATCCTCTGTTTGGGACCAAAAGGGCGATAACCTCTACACTTTCACACTGTTAAACCTGCTTTAATGACCACCTGTCTACAAAGACCACTTTTTTTGGTTCCCAGTGAAAAAGGTTTCTCATTGAAACATGTACTAAAGGAACCTATATATAAAGACCACCTTTCTATAAAGACCACTTTTCTTGTCTACCTTGGGTGGTCTTTATAGATCGGTTTCACTGTACAATGAAAGGATCGAACTGCTTTAAACTAGAACATATGTTCATTATAATCATTGCAATTTAATTAAAATATTCAGAAACATACAAAAAGGACATTTCTTATTTTACCTCTGTTTCTTTATCGTATGGACAACTCTAAGCTATTTTGTCATGTACATTACGGACGGCTTCTCTGAGATTTCAGTTTATGTAATGACCGTATCAAGCTGATAGCCCTGCTAGAGCTTGAATCAGACAAACTATCTAATAAAATGATATTGTATTTTTTGTCAATTTACGTTCACGATTCCATAATACAATAAGCCAGTTCGTAAATACTATCTGCACATGGGCAGATAAAGGTCATTTGTTCCCAATTGTAAACCCATCGAGAGGAATACTGGTATAGTGCTCATGAAAGTTATGTAATCATTATTCATTTATGCACCAACAGTACATTTATCTGATACACAGGTGGAAGTTTTCTTCTCAAGAGGCAAACAAAAGGTATTCATGAAGCACCTCCATCACTTCAGCAGTGATTATTCTAAAATGCGCAAGTGGGACGTATCCATCGTGTAAAAGATCTGTGGATATTTTGGGTTCATGCGTACTGAAGCTATTTATAAACTGGCTTATACTTGGTAATATATTGGACGTACCGTGGACTTCCTTATATGCATACATGAACATGCTCATTTGGCCCTATTAAACGCCTCAAAATAAGCTAGGAACTCAAGTTGCATTGAATTATGGCTCTCTTATCATGGTATAATCCTGGCTTTGATCGTTATCCTGAGAAAGTGTGCTTATTCCTCTCTAAAATGATACCCTATTTCTTATGATTATGCAGCTCTGGATTGAGCAGAACATCAGAATAAGGGGCAGGGTTAAAAGTGAAAATTTTCAAAATGCACTGGTAAGCTCCGGTATTGTTATGCAGTGTACTGTACCACACAGCAACCCTATACTCTTCAAAGGAAGAGGGATACACAGCCGAACATGAGTAGTTCATTTTGCAACTTTTCCCTTCTGACCGTGCCCCTTATTTTGTTGTAATCACATTCCATGACTGAAAAATCATTATATATGGGGTATCGTTTCAAAGAGGAATAAACACATTTTCTAATGATACTCGGCATAGCGATGTTTATGTCATAAACAAGCGAGATATAATGAATTAGACTTGAGTTTCCAAACTTCTCTTGAGGGGGTTTATGATTTATCATTCAATCCGATCGTAATAAGTAGCATTTTGTTCTCTGCTTATCTCAGTTAACCATTACATGTATTGTTCTTAAAAGATAAGGTTTAATCTGTTTACAAAGTGGATATCATTTATTTAGATAACTAATCCTTAAAAAGAAAAACATAGACGAGCCAAGAGATTTGTTCAGCGCTGGTATTTTGTATTCAGTCCTTATGGAGAAAACATTGGATAAATCATGTTTATATATATTTTACATGATTTGACGAGTATAAATGCTGCTTATTTTCAATGTTCTGCTTATTTGACATAAAAGTAGGGTATTCTACTGACTCCTCTTCAGATTTATGTATGCTGCCATCTACTGCTCACAATGTCCTGATGTGTTGACAGCCTCGTCCCACAATGCATCACCAACTGAATGGCGTGCGAGTGATAATGCTTGTGTACAGGAACCGGAAATCGCTCTTTTTACGCCATCACCGAAAGATGGCGCGGTTAAAAATACATTACGAGAGTGGTACCATTGATGTTGGTAAATTAAGCTGACTCTAAAGAGGTTTATATATGCCTGATGTCAAGTCAGCGTTTTTGTAGATATAACCAAGTGAGAAGAAGAAAATGCAAGGAGCATTGAACTTAACTCCCCATATAGTAAATTTAATTAAGATTAATCATAGCACCATGCGCAATATGCATCATGCATTCTGACGGCATAGTCCAAGAACTTGAGGTTTATCTGCTGTAGCAACATGCGCATTATGCATCATGCATTCTAAGGACCTGAGGTTTTTCTGTCATAGCAGCATGTACATTCTGAATGTGTATATTGCAAAAACAAAACTAAGATTCTTAAGAGGTGGATGGACTTGAGATTGGATGTGTTTATAGAGGAAGAAGTGTCTCTGAATTATATAAATTTGTGAAAAGGCCGCATTGATCAATATCGATGCACTGGATAAGCAATGGATTATTGTATTGTTATTTTGATATTCAAGTATTAAAAAATATTAAATATAAAATATAATCTTTGTCTTGTTATTTTGTCATATAGACATGATGGAAATGAGGTGAATTTGTTAATGAGTGGGAGAGAGAAGAGAGAAAGAGAGAGATGGGGTGAGATACAAAGATTTAGGAAGAAAGAAGGGGAAGAGAGGGAGATTCAATAGGAGAGATAAGGATAGAGAAAGGTGACGATTTGAGAAGAAAGACATGTAAGAAGTGAGAGAGAGAGAGAGGTGGAGTTAGATGAAGAGAGAGCTTTTGCTGTACTACTACAGGTGCCAGCACCACAGGACACATTTGTTCATCTCCTCTTTGCACGTCCTTTTTTGTCTTTCTTCGATTCTGCGTCTTTATCCCTCATCCCTACCCCCTCTATCTCCCTCTCTCTGTCTTTATCTCTCTCTCTCTCTCTCTCTCTTCCCCCTCTCTCCCTCTTTCTCCCTTTCTCTCTCTCTCTGTCTGTCTCTGTCTCTCTATATCTCTCATCTATTCCCTCCTCCCTCTCTTTCTCCATTTCTCCAAACTATTCCTCTGCCCCCTTCTCTCTCCGTTCCTTCTGTCCTCGTATGCCCTACCCCTCCCCCACCGGTAACTAGATTGACTCGAGTTAGCAGATCACTGTTCATGGGAAGAACGGGGTGAACAGGGCGCGAGAGAAGTGGGACACTTCCCCCAACTCAAAGGAAATAACCTTTCATCAAATCCTACAAAAGGTCTTAACAAGCAACCTTCATAATTTATGCATCCCCACAGTTGCATTACGATCGTAGGTATAATTGTCACTAACTATAGCGACAGTTTCTAAACCCTTCTTTTTGTAACCTAGTATTTTTTAGTAGACCTACAAATTGTATAGTCCTTAATAATGTACAACATAAACATGTAGAGGTTACAATATACACTGATGTCTGTTGCCCATACAATTGGAATGATATTTTCTCTTACCTCTGTTCGTGAAATGTTTGTGAGAATATGATTTATTCTTGATAGATTGATAGATAAAATGTATATCTTCTCAGAACTTTATTAAACAATCTAAAGAGTCTCAGAGATTGATCAATAAACAAGTTCTGATCTGAGAAGACATAAACTTTAGCTTTCGTATATAGTAGCTGGCTTGCTGCGCTATATAAATTGACTGATTATTATTATTATTATTATTATTGATCATTACTCGCACAATCACTTCATGAAAACACGTTAAAACAATTATTCCAATTGTATGCGCAACAGTGTATGCTCCCCAGGGAGTGGAAAATGTGCACACATTGTGTGCGGGTAAGCCTGAATCCGATGACCGTGGTAATAATATATCTGTAAAGCGCTTAGGCACATCGTTGGATCGTTGTATTGAGCGCTATATAAAAAACCGGATTATTATTATTATTAGTGTATATTTACATAACCACGAGACACAAGTACCAATTCATGATTCGCATCCCACTTCACCCCGTTCCCCCGTTCACAAACAAACCACGCATTCTATAGAAACATGATAACGAAACACGAAATCCGATAGGATATGAAAATATTTCTATATTAGAAAATATGTGAATATCTTTATATTAAAAATGAAGCATTCAAAAATACATCATGAAGTGCATTACATATTTTTTAAGGAGCACTCAATGGAGTGGTAATTAAAACGAGCCGATGATTCATACTACTTATACATGAGTGCGTTTCACTTTCATTAATTGGAGCAATAGTCATTGTATTGTTTTAATTTGTAAAAATGAGCACGTAGAAGTCCTATTAACACGATTGTAACTTCTTTCAATAGATCAACTTACAACAATTGCAATTAGCCAGTCCACCAAGTTTTGAAATGTGTGTACATTGCAACGATAAAAAAGTGAGATTTAAAAATCGATTTTTGCATTGCGATCCAATTTTTTTTTTTTTTAAACATTTTTTTTGCGTGTGCGGACTGATTAATTTCACTAATTTTCGCGATTCACATCGCGATCCAATTCGCAGTAAGTCTTGCGATTTGTCAGAATAATCGCGCTAGTTTGCCGGGCGCGGTGTGTGTAAATGGTATTGAGAATTAAAAAAAATAATCACATTATTCCAAGCGCGCATACATCGTCGAGATTCGTGTGAATGGTCGACCCCCCCCCCCCCCACAAATAAAAATCTTTGCATCGCGATCCAATTCGCACTCAATTGACATGACTGTGTGAACGGTCGCAACCCCCCCCCCCCCAAACAAAAACAAAAAACAACAACAACAACCCAAAATCGATATTTTCTTCGCGATCCAAATCGCAATAATTGTGATGTGTGAACGGGCCTGATGTATTGCGTACTCCGAACATAATTTCTATGGGGTATATACAGGCATATTGAGATTGCTCTTGAGTTGATTTTACGAAAGTGTTGCGATCGTGTCACTAATTATTTGCATGAGATTAGTGGAAAAGAGAGAGGAGGAGGAAGGGAGAGGAGGAGGAAGGGAGAGAGAGAGAGAGAGAGAGAGAGAGAGAGAGAGAGAAAGAAACAAAAGAGAGAGAAAGGAAGTGAGAGAGAGAGAGGGAGAGGGAGAGGGAGTGAGATACAGACAGACAGAAGGGTGGACAGTGGACAAATAGATATAAAAGGGGTGAGAATGCGAAGGTAAAAATGGGAGAGAATAAGAAAAAAAAGCAAATTCGACAAGGAAGAACAGACAGGAAAAGAGTGGAAAGAAAAGACGAAGAAAGACGAAATTAGGAAAAGAAAACAAAGTAGAAATGAGGAAGAGGATGAATATAGCAAATTAAAAATTGCGCGCAGAAGAGTAGGCGTTACAGCCTCTCTCATCATCAATGGCACAACAAAGAAATTAGGATGACAGATTTCCTTTATGCATCCTCTGTAAAAGGGGTGAGAATTCGAAGGTAAAAATGAGAGAGAATAAGAAAGAAAGCAAATTCGACAAGGAAGAACAGACAGGAAAAGAGTGGAAAGGAAAGACGAAGAAAGACGAAATCAGGAGGGAAAAAAAGTAGAAGTGAAGAAGAGGATGAATATAGCAAATTAAAAAGAAAGAGCAAGAAAGGGATGGTTAATAAAGATCTAATACATTAGAAAGATAAAGGGTGAAATGATCAGAAGTGAATAACACAATTAGAAAAGGACAATGGTAGATAAAAAGAGGAGAATTTATCATTTAGAGAAACGTAAAAGTGTAGTAATAATTGAAGCTGACTTAAAAGAGTTGCCTGGCATTTTAGATACTACGTCACAAAACATATTATAATCCATGTATCCTCTGGTTCTAAATATACAAATATAAGAAATTGTACAAAATGTATTTATATACAAACAATCACGGGATCGATATGTTGATAGACCGGCTAACTAACATATTCTATTCTAATTCTATGCATACTTTTAAAACAAAGGTTTTTCTTGAAAACGTGAAAGCTTGCTGGACGCTTGCCCGACAAAGCAACAAGTTATGTTTGCAGATTGGATTCTAAGTGTGATCATTTTATTTATAACATGTTAATCGAATAACGTAACCGATGATACTAAAGAAGGTTATGTATAGTTTAAAGTTTTATCAATGAAATACATGTTGGCAACATTATGACGTATCTTGCGAAGTCCTATCTTATTTGCTCTGTACAGTAATGTCATAAACTTTCATTTTCTTAGTTATTGATGACGCAAAAGATTTAAACTAAGATTTAAATTAAGATAACTTTTGATTTTTTTTTGTGATGCAAAAGTGACAAGTGACGGACAACTCTGTCCATTATTTCGTAACAACAATTGAATTTAGTCTCCTAGTCGAATTATTAATAGTTTCTTCTCTGTCGACCTAGGACCACGGCAACAACTCTTTTGATGAAAATTATGTGCATATTAATTTGTCATGGATTTGCCTAAGTAAAATTAATGAAGTGAAAGACAATGTTGCAGTAATGAAGACATTCTGCTACTCATTCATCAATAGGAACAATTTCCGTCGTATGAGTGCTTCGAGTAAGGGAGCTACACAGATTTTCCTTTCCATTGGAAATCTCCAGGGTTTAGCGTGCTACATCCTTTAAAGGGAAAGTCCACCCCCAAAATAAGTTTGTTTCGATAGAGGCAGAATAATAAGAAAATCAGGTGAGTGAAAGTTTGAGCAAATTCTGAATGAAAATAAGAAAGTTATGAATTATTGAAGTTGTGATCAATCAAATACAAATTGGCAACTCTGTGACTTATTATACGAGCTCTCCTTCATTTGCTTTGTGCATAATATTCCATAAAATCATGTTTTCTTGATGACGGAATATATATTTGTTCCTTGCAGGGGGAGTATAGAAACATATTTGCAATTATTATATTTAGGGTGCATGTATGGTTGAAATTTTTCTTGAGGGAAAATGAAAATTTTAGATTTTTTTAGTACTGAGCAAATGGAAGTTGAGCTCGCATGATACGTCATAGAGTTGCCAATTTGTGTTTGATTGATCACAACTTCAAAAATCCTAACTTCCTTATTTTTAATCGGAATTTGCTCAAACTTTCACTGACTTGGTTCTCTCATTTTTCTACTCCTATTAAAACTAACTTAATTTCAGGGTGGACTTCCCCTTTAAACCTTTATAATGTTCAATTTGCTTAAGTCCGTCGAATGAGTGTTTCGCGATCGAGTAAGGGAAACACAAAATATTTCCTCGACCATAGAGAATCTCCAGGGTTTAGCTAGGTGCATCCTTTAAATCTTAATAATATTTGTTTTGCTTCGCCTTTTCCTTTCTCTTTTAGCTGTTCGAATATTTATGTCGTACGAGTGCTTCGAGTAAAGGAAACACAGAAATTGTTCTCGACCATATAAAATCTCCAGGGTTTAGCTAGGTGCATCGATCCTTTAAATCTTAATAATATTCATTTTGCTTCGCCTTTTCCTTTCTCTTATCGCTGCCTGAGTTTTTCCGTCCCTTAATCGGTAGGAGTGCTTCGTACGTGTTCTGATCATCAAAGACGCTGAAATTCGCCGGCGGGACTTCGTAGAGTTCTTCCACGGTTGTTTCTTTGCTGCTTCCCGCCAGTCTGAAGACATCTGTAATAAAATAATAGGTGATGAGGGGACATCAGTCTTACTCGGTTGCCGTTAGTTAGAGGGATGGTATTGAAGGGCAGGCGCGTACACAGGGGGGAGGGGGGGGTGTTTGGGGGGTTAAACACCCCCCTTTGGTATTTTTATGTGTGTAAACCCCCCCCCCCCCATCACCCCCCTAACCCCCCCTTTGAATTTTTGTTTTAAAATAAAAATTATTCCCATGGCTGACCTAAAAAGGTGACCTTACCCCCCCCCCCAGTGGAGCGAAATGTCAATTTTTCAAATTTCGAGACCCCCCCCCCCTTGAAAAAATCCTGCGTACGCGCCTGTTGGAGGGAGTCGTACTTCCACGTTCCCTTGTCCCGTCTCCCTTGATATCTCTTTCTCTCTCGCTCGATCTCTTTCTTCCCCTCTCTCTTTCTAGTCTCTATCTCTCGTTCTCTATCTTACTCTCTCTTTCGATTCTAGTTTACCATACACTCACCAGATGACTTGTTTTTGAACCAGTTCACGATGTCATTCAGACGACCTTTGGTGGTTTCCCCCGAAGAGGCCACCATCGTTACGTCACCGTCGCTAAACGAGTGCCGGGGTTGTCCCCTGTTCGCGTTAGCAGCGCCTCCAACGTTTGTCCTGATCTCGAACTGGCCCCCTTCGAAGAGGAACTTGCTGTAGCGGTCGGTCTCTTGGTCGAAGCGCGTCAGCTCGCGCCGGACGACGCGGGTCAGGTCGTCGCGTTTCATTTCTTGGAAGACGGAGAGGAGGCGGGCGAGAAGTCCTCGGGCTTTGTCCCGAGGCGACGTCGACTGGCAGCACGATGTCGCTGCCGGACAGGTGCCGAAGAAGAGGTGGATGATGGAAAGTGGGGACTGGAAAGTGTAGCGATCGGACATCCGGTCAACCTATGAAGAGAAATAAAGTGTATAATGGTCAAGCAGGTCCAATGTTGACTTTCAGCTGTCCACTTAAACAACTTCGGTACACTGACAGGCTCTATCAGCGAAGGTAATGACGAAATATTATAAATCATGACGCCTCGTGTATACAAAAGGCAAAACTAACCTGCTGCATTGAAAGCCCAATCTTATTGGCAAATTTCATCCAGTCGCTCTTGCTTGATTCGGTCTTGGCCGCCTGTAGCAGCAAGCAAAGCTCCGCTAAAGTCTGGTAGGAAACGTAGATCTCCTCGAAGCATCCTTTCGTCGTGTCGAGCTCGTACGAATTTAACAGCAACACGGACATTCGGTCACCCGGAACTGGTGGCGGTGACGCCGAAGGGCAGTCCGAAGGTGTCTGGGAGGATCGCGGTGATATAGGCGGATGACTGGACGCACTGCTAGGGTGTGTGCCAAGTGGTTCTCCAGTGGAAGGTGGTAGAGTCAAAGCCGGAAGACGTCTTCCGGAAGCTCGACCAAGTGATTGCTGTACAAAGAAAGATTAAAAGTCAGTTTCGGTGATATAATACTTAAACATGGCAAGTACTTTATCTTTTAGAGAAAAGAAGCTGGCTGATTCATATACCTATACGCCAGCATAAGTTATGTTCTTCTTCTTCTTCTTCTCTTCCTTCTCATTATTCATCTCCTTGCATTTTATCACTGGTTGTTGTCCAGTTTTGTTTAAAGCTCGTCACCCAGTAAATATTAGTCTCTTATTATTCCATAAAAATAATGTGTAGTAAAAAACTGAATCATTCGGGTCATACAGCCTCGTAAAAATGAGTTAATCATAATCTGTAATAAATCATAAAAGTGTTAGTTGAAACTGAATCTTTTCTGGTCATACAGCCTCGTAAAATAATAACGTTAATATCTGCTTGGTATCAATCCTACTCCTTACACCTTGAAACAGTTAATGCGAAACATGATCATAGAGCTACCTCATTAAGGAAGTACAGTGTGTGGAAAGGACACCATGTAGTGGTCTTTGATAATACCAGACGGTAAGTTTTGAAAGCTGTATTGTTTCCCCTTGTTGTTCCTTAACGCCAGATGTTTTGAGAAAAAAAAAAATCATTCACTGAATCTTCCCGAGACATAGGCCTTCAGCAAACTTTTTCACAACAGAATCTTCGTATATAATCGGTTATTTTCGGATTGATATTAATCCCACTCCTGCCACCGAAAAACAGTTGACACAAAACGTAACTGGAAAAGTTGAGGAATAGACCGGGTTATAACATATTCAAATGATTTGCATACTTTTTAAATAGAGGTTGTTCTTGACAACCTGAGGGCTTGTCCGACATAGCAATAAACAATGTAGGCAAACTGGATTCCAAATATTATAGTTCCTTCATTAATAACACGTTAATGGATTCCTCGTCACTAGGTCCCAAGGGAAGAAACATCCATAAATTCGTATATGTAAATAATTAAAGGTGGTCTATTGAAAACTTACGCTTTGGAACTGGCCACTCTTTGCCACAGTTACGTCACCCACCAGATGAACGAAGCTGCTCACATCTGCATCCTGGTAATTAGCCGTGGCTCCTTCGTGAACGACCACCATGCACTGGACGAACGCTTCCGTTGACATGAGGTCAGTGGTGGGGTTTGAAAGGGCAAAGGTTACCGAGGGTGGGTATTGATCAGCGTAGTTGAATAGATCGTCATGCGTGAATTTCTGCGTAGTGTGATCCAAATCAAAAGAAAATTGCAAGGTTATGTAATTTCAGGTCATTGCTTGCGTTGGCCGGGTCAGAATTGTATTTAGAAATATGATCGATGTTGTTGTTGATTTGTTAGATTCGGTTTTTATGGCGCTTGTCAAATATTTCCAATATTTGAATATTGAACTGGCAATTTAGCTTTCCGCAAAGTTCACACTTAAAGTTGGTCACATTGCCTATATACTTGTTTATGAGTAGGCCTATACATTTCGAAAAATAGACCTAAGGCTAAGGCAAATCAAAAGCCTTGTCCATGTGCGTGAACAGACAATGAAGTATTACGTAATCCGAACGTATATTGCTATGGAATATTCAATAGGGTATTGAAAATAGCCCTTGAGTTGATATCTCTCAAAGCGATGTTTGGTTTTTTTTTTGGGGGGGGGGGCGGAGGGGACGATTTACCCGTATATAAGTTCTGGAGGTCATGGAATTTACTTACCGCGGTAGAGCTGGTCTGTAGAATCCATGAAGTGTTCTTCAGCTGACAGAAGGAGACCCAGATCGGCTGCCCCGACGACGTCTGGATGGACAGCGCCCTCACGTGGTCTAACTTACGGAATGAATCTTGCTTCTCGGATTCGATTACTCTCTGTAGTATGAATTAGGTGGGAGAATACGAAATAGATTGAGATAGATACACGCGGTCTCTTCTCATACATAACGCAGTAAACCGCCTAAAACTAAAAGGACAGTGCATTTAAGCGCAATCGCAGATACGATACTGGGGAAGATGAAAAGTAGGTTTCTTTCGGCTTCCCTTGAAAATGTAGCAACTAATCCCTTATCTTAAAGGTACTAAGTCCCATTTGCAGGCCAAAAAAAATGAAAAAGTTAAATTCCAATTGCATTTGAGAGATAATAATAATTTAGAACTTCCCTAAAAAAAGGTGGGGCTTGAAAATGTCTTCAAGTGGGAAAATAACGACTCTTAGTTGTCAAATCGACTTTAGGGCTATAGAGCCCAAAAGTAATAGTCTTGATTTTCAGACAATAATTGTACCGAATGGTCATACGTTTTATTCTGCGCAAAGATTCAATCAGTTTAATCTTGGCCATCACAAGAAGTGGGTTATTGATGTAGACAAATGCTCACGGTACCTTTTACAACTCTTTTCATGTATTACCAAAGAAGAAAAAAGCCAGTCAGTCACTCAAAAGTGTCTGACGGTGAAGTCTAGCAAGTTAACGGGTTTCCTTGCATAATTTGAATATAGGACACTGCTAACGTTTTAAATTTCACAGATAGGACATACATGACATATTCATAATTCCTGCAAAGTCCTACAGATTTTGAGGTTGGCTGCAAAAGGGACATAGTACCTTTAAAGCATTGTTCAGGTTTCATGAACTGCCATGATGACTTGATTAGATCTATGTAGGCACAATCATATTCTGTTCTTTTTTGGTGGTATTTTTGTTGTTCCAAAACTATTATTTCTATCAGACTTTCTAGTTCTCGACTCCTTGTATTTTGTACGGTAACCGGAAGTACCTTTGCCAAATATACGGTGCTACCCTCTATGGCTAAATATCATAGTTGCGGTAGCGATAATCGCTCCCCGTTAAACTTGGTTTGAATAGCTGGACATGATCCCAAATTGCGCGAGGGTGCAAACTAAAACCCGCTGCAAAGGCAAATCTCCTGCACATTTTAAAGACGAGTACCCTAGGGCAGTTGCGGATCCAGGGGGGGGGGGGGGGTCTGGGAAAAAAACAGAGATGCCCCCCCCCCTGACGCTCAAGGGGGGGGGCTGTGTGCGATTTTTTAAATTTTCGAGGGCCAAAAAAAAATTAGTGCTCACTACCCCCCCCCCCCCTACTGAGCGAATTGTCGGCCGTCGCAATTTTCCAATTGATTTCAAATTTGGGCCCCCCCCCCTAAGAAATCATGGATCCGCGCCTGCCCTAGGGTGTCACCAGGTATTCAAACGTATTCAACAAAGGCCCTTATTCAAGCAGTTCATCTGTCATTTTTGAGTTGTGGAAAAACAAAACATCAAATTTACAAGGGGTATGAATAATTAAGCTGTTAACTGTATTTGATAATGCAAACATATTTTCACCATTGGTATGTAATACAATTTAAACATTGGCATACACATGTAAGTTGAGAGTCAGAAAGGCGTTACGTCAATGCTAAATAGTAATAAGTCAACAATGACTCAACACTTTTCAAGATGTCAGCAATTAACTTGGTAGTTATCCTCGGATGCTTATATTGGCATGAATAAACAGAAGAAAACCGTCGAGAGATGTCCACCAACTAATGCAGTGTAACCAAGTGCAACCTTGTAAACAAGTGCTTCTAGTATAATACTTTATGATTGTTTCTGGGTTATTTTGACTGTATCCAACAACCTTTTTAGCATGTGGAGGACTAAATCTCATTATTGTAAAAATAACCTTATATGTAGTGCCACAGAAAACGTTTCCTGAACACATAAATAGTATCCTGCCTATAAAATGTTTTACAAAATAAATAATTGTTAGCTGGCGCACGCCACAACGCCCGTGTAATCGTGACTGTACAATATAAATGATATCACATAACATTACTTTCACTTTCGAGAAGAGCTAAGGGTCGAGTCATAACTACTTTCTCTCGATGTCATTGTCTTCAATTTGATTAGGGATTATTGCGGCTTTTTGCTATCAGTGTAAGAACAATAGGAGAGCAACACTTGAAGTCCTTCAAAACATATCTTTAGTTTAACATTCGTTTATCAATGCTTATGAATGCCATTTGACACTGTCGTACTGACTCTTGTGCTCTATATCGCTATACCCTGCTAGGCACGATTGCCCTTTGGCAGGACATCAATCCAAGTTTTCCACTCTCCACCCAGGTGCACTCTTGGTAACCGATACGTCAGAGTGATACATAGTTCGGCCGCTTGGCTATAACCATGGACCTAATACGTCCATGCTATGACGGGAGTCATACTGTCAAATAGAAATATTTGCGGAACATTAACTTTCGCGGATTTCGCACTAAGATCGGCAATTTTAGAACTCACGCGAAAATAACAAAGCTTTCAGTATAGCGTTAGGGCGGCAGGAGGGTCACGCGTAATGGACATAAGCGTTATAAAAAATATTTAACAACATTTATTATAAGTCCTATCAATTCGTCCACAAACAAATGTTGGATTTTTAAGGAGTTAGAATTAGGTTAGAAATCTACGATGTAATTTCAATATTAAAGATTACTGTCTGTAAGCGATTAGATACACGTTGATTATGTAGTATATATAGAATTCGCGTGCACTTTGAGGTTTTGGAATCAAACTTAGAAATTGGCCCAGTCTCAGTGATAACAGTCACATGGGACTGCAGAAACATGCGCCATGAAAGCGTGGTCGTCACAGTTTAAAGGTAAAGACCAGTATTGGAAACGCCCCAATTTCAAAAAATGAAATGGAAGCTCTCATTACCAATCATGTGAAAGAATATGTTTTGACTAATACATGATGATAAAAGATTTGCCGGGAAACCGCCTACTAATTCATATATTTGGTAAATTTGTTTCTCTCATGGTCTGTGAGAGATATAGGGTAGTCCCATATACATCTTTCTGTGTATAGTGCTTGTAACTTTACGAAGAATGGGCCAAATTTCTTATCATTTTGATGATTCCAGAACCTTGCAGATGCTAGATGCTAGATGATCAACCTTTTCTGATCGATTCCACAACGTTTCTTTTACAATGCAATCGCATGACCATAACTGGTCTTTACCTTTAACCATTTCTTGTCATATTTCGAAATGAGGGCATTTGGAGAGCCATCCGTTTCAATGTAAATTTGTTTTATTCTTCCACACTCACATAATCATGAATAACAAATTATTGTTCATCTTTCCCACAACTAAAACTTGATTTCCTTTAAAGGACCCCCCCCCCCCCAAGAAATAACTTCGTCCTTGTTTTCACGAAGTGACGGTAGTGAGGAAAATCGTAACGCAAAGTGAATGCAATTTTTTTTCACTACCGTCACTTCGTGAAAATAACTCAAGTTTTGAGTTATTCTGAGAGATTTATTGTATTCTTGTCCATTAATCTACAAGATTCCCCACCAAAGTGTGTATGAGAGAGATATAGAGCAGGATGTTTAGTTTCTCAGCACGACATGGGCATTGCCATTTTCTTGGTATCATGTCGGAATATGCGAAGTCGTTTATCAAGAAAACGTGATAAGACTAGTATAACAATGGGAAAAGAATCTGTACATTACATTATGTTTAAGTTGTAATAAATAAGCGAATGTCACCACCACACACACTTGACTCGTCTTCGTGATGTTGATACACCGAAACCAAAAATGAGCAAGTCTGTTTCGAAGGTTCTTCTGCCCATTTTAATCCCGACAAAACACAATTATTCTATTCTTTGACATGCATCCGGAAGTGACTAAGCATTTTTTAAAGCCCACATATAATTTTGGTTAACCCGAGAAAAGCTTTAGTCAGACGTTTATATCAAGTTCGTTGACATATTTTTTTTAAATACTGAGCGACTCTAAAATTCGATGAATTTTGTTTGTTTGAAAGTGAAAACTCCACATTTTGTTCATTAAAAAAAAAACTCTAATCTATATCTTGGCCAGAGATGTAAATTCTAACGCGTAATAACCCTCGGACGGATGTGTGCTCGCGATTCGTACGAACCGCAGTAAGGCCAAATAACAAAAAAAAATCAGTAATCTCGTCCGGACTTTTAAAAAAGGAGGAGGCAGGGCATTACTATTTACTATTTTGCAATTTTTAGGTTTTTTTTTTCCAAGATGGCTGCCATATGCTAATTATAGCTGGCCGAGCCTATTTATTCACAGATATTGTGCTATGTTAGTATACTGATGCAATGTATGTCAAAACAAATGCTTTGTATCATTTTAGAAGCTTTAAAAAAAAATGTATATCACAGGCTTTTTTTTGTTGTTGCTTTTTTTTCTTCATCTGAATAGTAAATAGTAAAAAAAAAAATAAAAAAAAAAAAAAAAAGGAAGGCGGCGGCGGCCAAAAAGGAGGCGGGGGGAAACGAAAAACACTTAATTGTTGTTATTTAGTCTAACATAATTAATATAATTGTGTCGTGAGCCCCGGCGAGGACAGATTTTAAGGGTAGCATTGATTTGGGGTTCTTTCGGATACTTCCCCCGAAAAGAAATCATTGGAAATCACTGGCGGAATATTGAAATATCTGGGACATGTATCTTTTTTATTAGGTCGCACAATATGGGACTAAGTACAACACGTTCCTAACTTACTCTTTGCTATCTTGAAATAAAGTGATTATTGTCATGAAATATATGGTCGAAAGCGAAAATTAACACTATACCACCAGTTACAAAAGTCATATGTTGACACTCGAAGTGGCTCTTCTTGTTTTCCTCTGCTTCTTTCTCTGCTTCTTTTTCTTCTCCTCCTTCTTCTTTCCCCCAAATTCTACTTCTTCTTCCTTCAAGTTGTACTCTACTTCCTTCAATCTTGAAGATTCTTGCAGAAAATTTCCTCCTCCCCTCCTTCTAATCTTTGTCTTCTTCTTCTTCTTCTTCTTCTGTTACCTCTTCTTTCTTTTTCTCTCATTTTTTTTTCTTCTTCTATCTTCAAGTTGCAGTCTGCTACCTTAAACCTTTAAGATCCTTGCAGAACTTAATTGTTAAGGTAAGGTTGCGTACATGCTGATTTACAAGGTTACAAGTTTAAATCGTCTTATATCTAGTTAGCTGCACAGCCTCTCGTCAGCAATGCAGCTGTATGGTTACGAACGATTTCGAAAGACTATCGACTGGGATAGTAGGCCTATTCCTTGTGTTCATACTTTTAAACAAAATTTCTCTATTGTGATTTCGTAAATTTAACTGATCTTTGTTTAAATCTATGGTGTGACAGTCAATGTGATTGAATTAGAATGTGCGCGTATATATATTTTTTTTAAATAGTAAAAGGGTACCTAGGTGGAATGCTCCCCAAAGGGGAGTTAAGTTAATCATTTTAGAAGTTAAAAGATTTGTATATTTCTCTTTGTTGATTCCTTTTATGTGATTTTATTTCTCGTCATTCATGCTTGTACAGCGCATTGAGAAACTTTTGTTTATTATGCGCTTTATACATATATTATTATTATTATTATTATTATTATTATAAAGTGTAGAATCGTAGTTGAATCCAAATGGGTAGTGACCATACTGTAAGGGCTTTAAAAACAGTCATTGTTAATGTCTACTTTTCACATCTTGATGCTATTTCAGTATGGCTTTGATAACTTTGTTTTTACAGGAAAACTGCAAAAGTTGGCTGGGCCTTTTAAAAATCTTACCTCGACCTCTTTGTCACAGTCTTTGCAGAACACGACATGAAGTTTGGCTCTATTGGATTCCGGTAAAGATCGACCAAAAAGAGCCACTCGAATCTATACAAAAATAAGAAGAAGGAGACAAGCATACACAACAATTACACTTATGATACTTAAAAGATGAAGATCATGTTTTGGTCATGCGATTTCATTGTGAAAGCGACCACCTGGAAGCACTTGGAAAACAATAGATTATGTTACACATAGGAATAATTATTGGTCTATACTGGGAGGTTTTAATCATATAGGTTTAATATGATCAGAAACAGACACAGTCTTGCTGAACGCCACATACACTGTACACATAAATGTCTATATGGGACTACACAAACATGTGGCTGGAAATTTGTCCAAACACTCATATTCAAAATATGATGGCATTTGAAGATTTTTTTTCTAGGGTATTCTTAACATGCACACTTTATATAAATATTATTTACCTCTCTTTAGTATGTTGAATAAATCTAGTCATCCGATTAGTTGAAATTGGAGTTGTAATTTTAGCCATGCCCGTCTAACGGTCAATAGTTCATGGGAAATATGCCCGTTACCCGGATTGTGTAAAAAGTTTCTTTGTGCGAGCGCGGATACCATACAGTGCAGTGTGTGTGCGATTCCCAAATGAACGTCACATTCAGGCAACTTTTCAGCGAAGGTTCACAGACAGTATCACGGATTTTCTGTGATGTTTTAACCAATCTTTACTCGAGAAATTGATAAGGTAAGATTTCTTTGTAGATTTTTTTTGTTAATTCGGTATATAAAAGATGTATAGACTGCTTTAATATTCGAAGCATAACTGTTTCTATACTGGCTCTCGGGGACGTTACATCCACTTTAGCCTATAGAAACAGCGATGCCTCTCATAGCAGTCAATATATCTATAATCAAGCAGCCAATAGATTAATTTTCACCTTTTCCTCAGTACTCAAAACCTTTTCTATAAATAATCACTGAAAGTGAATCATAAACATATCATAAAATATGATCAGAAACTGTATCACTTTCATAGTCAGGTTTGGGCTATGATTTTTCATTTCACTAGCATGATTAGCATATGCATTTCCTATTCAGCTTTCTTTTCAAACGTCAAGAACGAAAATACTTCATGTTACTTCCGACCTTATTAAGTGACCTTTCAAAACTCTGTGTGGGTGCTCTAAGGGCGCGTTCATGCTTGATTTTGACGGCCAGAATCAGGCATCTGTTACGCGTTTAGTTTAAAACACGGTTGCGTCTTAGCTCACTTTTGTAGAATCACCGAAAAACGGCGATCACGATCGCCGATCGTAAACTCACAAAAAGATGCGTTTACAATTTGTAAACGCGTTTAAATGGGGTCAACGCACTGACCTCTAGTGGGTCTACGTAGCATGCACAGTGAAGGTTTGCGAATCCAGCTGGAAGACCAATTAAGGCCACACACTGAGAATTGCCTGGGGGAGCCAGAGAAGTAAGCATGAACAGAACATCGTGGAACTGCGATCACGATGAGCGTTTACGATGAGCGTTTCAGATCGCTCATTCTGCCTTCAAAACTTAAGCATGAACGCAGCCTAAGTCTAAGACCAATGAGTTTATTTTGGAAGAAGAAACAGGACGAGGTGTACCGAACAAATGACTTGTACAGGCAAATAGTTGGAAGCAGTCTTGTACTAATCGTCAAATATTTCATTCAATTTTATTTGATGTTATTCCGCAATTATAAATTAATTCATAGATAGAGAGAGAGAGAGAGAGAGAAAGAGAGGAGAGTAGAGACAGAGAGAGAGAGAGAAAGGGCGAGAAACACAGAGAGAGAGTGAGAGTAAGAGAGTGAGAGAGAGAGAAGAGAGAGAAAAACAGAGATAGTAAGATAAAGAGAGACAGAAATAGACAGACAGAGAGATAAAGAGCGAGAGACAGAGAGAAAGAGAGAGAAAGAGAGAGAGAGAGAGAGAAAGGGAGGTGGGGTGACAGGACAGCCCCTGAAAGCTAATAACTAGATGATTCTCAAAGGGGTCCTTATTTAGTTTTAACAATGAATTAAAACAGCAAATGAATACATAAGTAATAAGTAGACATGTGAACAAACACATAAATGATTGAACTAATGAATAAACACAAGAAATTAAATGAATGAATGAGTGCATATATACATAAATGAATATTTGAATAAATGAATAAATAAATAAATTGAACAAAATCACTAAATAAAGAAGTCTACTTTCATTTGTTGAGGTATCCATAGGTATAGGATACTCTGGAGCCGCCTTCATTACTTTGATGACGAAGAAAGCGGACTGGTCCCAAATTCTCAACCTAAAAACCAAATCCTTACCCTAATATGCGTTCATTCGAATAAACAAGCCTTAAGAAATGAATAAATCATAACAATCAAACATAAGTAAATAAAATAAATAAGTACATACATTATTAAATGAATAATTGTATGCGTAAATGAATGGATTAGTAGATTAAAAAAGTAAACGGATAAATAAATAAACAAATATTTGGATGAACAACTAAACAGAAAGATAAATAAGATGTATAAATAAGTAAATAGATTTAAAAAAAAAAGAATGTTTAAATGAATGAGTTGAATGGTGGAGGGGTCCACAATAAAATTGTACAAGCATTGCTTTTTTAGTGGACCTCTCTGTTTCCAATATGTATTCCTAAATTGTTATAAATGTTTATGATTGATTTGTATTGTTTAGTTGGAAACATAGATAAATTGAAATTGAAATGAATTGAATTGAATTAAAACAGCAATAAGATATACAGTAGGCTTGCGGACGCACCATGTGAGAGAGAGGGAGGATTGAGGAGTCCTGTAAAGGACTCTCGGTAATCTTTCTTGAGGGTGTGTAGTCCTGAAAAGGACTGTTGGTGTAGTCTTGAAAAAGAATGTTGGTTATCTTTCTTGGCTTATAGTTCTAAGGAGAACTATAGCGCTTGGAGAGGATGGGTGGCGGGAGTGGCTCGACGTTTCGAACAGGTTGACTATCCGTCGTCAGGAGTGATTAGCAATTAAATACATGAATGGATAAATTATTGTACAAATAAATATACCTTTCTCTTTGAGGTATCCCTAGGTATCGCCATGTTCTGATATTCCGGCGCCGCCTTTGTGGCTCTGATGACGTAGAAGGCGGACTGGGATACCATGAGGATGCCACGCCCACCGCAAACTGAAAAGAAGTAGTCGTGACCCGGAGCCAAGATCCGCCATTTTGCGCTCTCTGGTGATCCGACAGAAAGAAAGACAAAACAAGTAAAATCAGTTTTGTGCATTAATCATTCATTAATTTAATTTTCTTGATAAGGCGTTAATTCACATTTGCCACTCTCGACCCATGATCAGTAAATGGAGCCATGTGCTACTTTCTATTGTTACGACACAAAGGACTAAAACAACCATTGTCTAGGTATAGTCAGTCGTTCATTCACTTAAATTTCAACCAATAGATTGTGGGTTTGCATCCCAGGCCGGCACTTACATTAACTGGTAAGGCATTAATTCACATTCGCCACTCCCCACCCAGGGGTAGTTTTGTCGTCTCTGATAGTCGGACATACAAAAAGAAAACATTGATATCAGCAATAACAACATCAACAACAGCAGAATAGTAATGATGAATCAGTATTAGTATTAAGAGTAGTAGTAGTGGCAATAGTAATAGTGTAGTAAGAATGATTATTATAACATAACAATACTCGATCTGTTCCGCTTTTTTCTTGTATTTAAATCCATCTCCTACCACGTTAAAGGTAATACAAAGTTTTGGTATGGGGTAATGAATTTGGTTCAAATAAACATATTGGAAGCATATGCAATCCTACAATATTCATTGATCGTTGTTGCGGTTGAAATCGAGTCTAAAGTGATGAAATTGTAAATAATAAACTATTTATGTTGTATAGCGCCCTCTCAAGGTCAACATATTAATTTAGCTATAAAACAATGTGATTTGAATAAAATCGACCGATTTGCTATTACTGTTTGGAATATATATATCAGATCTGCATATTCTGAGATTTTTATGGTCGCAGCTACCATCGTCTGGCCGTAGGCGCTATTTCAAATTTATCAACATTTACCGGGAGCACCGGTAAATGTTTATATTCAATTTTTCTCGAAAGCAGAAGAGTTTTAGGGGCTTAAATTTTTAGTGCGTATAATACATCCATAGGGGCATCCAAATATATAAAAATTGTAAAGAATCACTATCCAGCAAATTTTCAAAATTTACCAAAACTTTGTAATACCTTTAACATTATTTTCTTTCGTCCCTGGTTTTATGCAGCGTTACTTTCCCCCTTTTCTCTTTGTTTGTCTGTCCATTTGTTCTTCTCTTCTATACTCTTTCAGTTTAACATTACCCCTGTACCATCTCTCCTTTTTGTTATTTTGACATATGTTCTCTTCTAAAAAACATTTTAAAAGCATGCTTTATTTGCAGTTGCCCAAGTCTCTGTACTTACCGGGACAGAAAGCAGCATCGAATGTTTTGACGGAAAGAACGCTGAAGAAACTAGCGGTATTGTGTGACTCATCAATAGGAAACGATAACACCACATCGACCGTACTGTACTTGAAACCCGGTTTACCGATGTATATGATCGGACTCACGAGAAACTGATCCGGTTGTAGGCAACTGACAAGCGGCGAGTACCCGACCTGATTCGTCTTGGACATGAAGTAGAGCACAACCGGTTCCGGATCTCCGAGTATGGCATGAGGCGGAATAAAAAGCGTCGCTTGAGAGCGCATCAGCTTCAAGTAGCCACCAAGATGGTTGACATAGGCACACGCGAAATTTTCTTCACCCGTTATTAGGGTCTGCTTTCCTATGTTTTCCCTTGCAAGTTCGTTGCATCGGTAGATCCGAGCGTCGAAGTCAATTGAACCGGTTTTCTTAAAACCGGGAAAGACCGGATCATAGGAGGGGAATTTCTGAACCGGCTGGGGCGTAATAATCTTTGGACTCGGCGGACTCTGGGAAACCGGATCTCTTCGCCGCAACACGGCCTTTTCGAGCTGCTGCTGGATATCCGGGTTTATATTTCTCGAAAATCGTTTTTCGGTCGATGGCTGCGGTGAATATGACTCTCTGACTTTAGATCGAAGCGGCAACGCCGGTTGTGGATTAACATGTTGCGTGAGCACCGCATGGCTTGCCCGCGGTTGTACCCTCGGTGATTGCCGCTGCGGTCTCATGACTACATTTTCATATTGGCTTTCCACGTCCCGCCGAGGTTCCGGGAGCTTCAGACGCGGTGTTTCGTATTGCGGTTGCGGCGCAATATCTAGGTTGTCGTATGTTGAATGTACCTGAATCGTCACTGGTTCGAACGTTGGTGAGAGGACGCGCGATCGACGGCCGGACAGATTTCGGTTTGGATGACTGATACGCCGGCGACGGGCAGGGGTTGGTCGGGCTGCTCGCTCTTCTGCGTTCTTTGTCGGAGTATGGTCGTCAGCCGACTCGGAAGTGCCACAGATAGGGGCCATTGTGACGTAACAATCGGTTGGTGTTAAACAAGCGGAAAAGAAGACCTCCTCGTCATGACCAGATCGCGCCATTTTCCCCTTGGATTTTACAGCCTTAGTAAAGAGTCACGAACAAATTCCTACAACGGGAAATATACAATTGAGAAGGTTTAATGAGACGATCTCATATAATAAGGATGTGATTAGATCAATGAAATTTATAGAAGGAGGGGGTCATTCCATAAGACCTCCTGCCCACGAGACTGACAAAACACAGAAAATACCGTACACATATTTCTTTTTAACATAATTTTTTCAAAAGGTCTAAGACAGCGGACGACTGCGCACTGGAGACAGCCAACGAAATAAATATTTAATTTAACAAAATGGAGGCCGTGGCTTAAGTTCAATGGTTGTACAGTGTTTGCGCGATTTATGTTCTATTTTTCTCAATTTAAAGTTGATATTTACTCAAAATGCGAACATAGAAGAGACGAATATCTATAGAGCAATATTTCAAACTTAGAACTTGATTAAAGTTAAAAGGCATTGATGAAAAGGTTCACACATTGGTTGACAATTGCGCATTGACAAAAACGTAAGCAAATAAAAACGGAAATGAGTATGGGTTGATTTAAAGTTGGTAAGTCTCTTAGTACGTTCAACCTTTGTAAACAGAAAGAAAAAATAGTCAAACGAGACGCCAGAGAAAGAGAGAGAAAGAGAGAGAGAGAGAGAGAGAGAAAGAGAGAGAGAGAGAGAGAGAGAGAGAAATACAGAGAAAGACTACGAAAGATAATTTAAATTAATGATACGAAGATAATATTTAACAAATGAATACTTCAAATTTCGAACGAATATAGCAGTGTGACTGTGTGAAGATTTAGTTTTAAAACTCGAACGCCTCCAGATTTGTCATGCCTGGCTTGGTTTTGGTTTTACTGGCACAAGCATGTTTTCTTTACTTGTGAAATATGATGACAAATATATCATACCCTTCAGAGTGCCTATGCTAAAAACGGAGCTCAAAGAATTGAAATAGATTATATAAGTAACCACGTGAACCCATTACATACTCGTATCGTGTAAGCCTATTAAAATAGAAGACTTCAGTAGTCAACGGGTATATTAGTCTACGTGCATGGAAATGAACAAGATGATTAATGATAACGGGTGTTTATGAATGGAAAAATGGGATTCGGAAATTACAATTTATGTGAATGATGTTTGACCTAAATCTCAGTAAATAGTGATTAAATATTACCAACTTAACAATATATATATATATAATTCGCATGTGATGACGTTCGTCATATTTGATATCATTTTTTTTTTTAAAGTAGGGCATGATGTTTTCCATCTGGATTTATAAGACACATTCCATATACCTGTATAAATATCTATAAAGTGTACTATAAAAGCAATTTGATTTACATATTTAAATACACCTATCAATCAGGAAAGACAATACAGTAATTCGGCAGACTGTGAATCATAGGGTACGGGGTTCAAATCCCTACCACAGCACTAACGGCCTTTGGCAAAACATTGATCTACATTTGCCGCACTCGACACAGGTGAGGTAAATGGGTACCTGGCAGGAACTAATTCATGATATTTTAGAGTGCCGTAATGGCAGCCATGCTAAACCCGTGGTACTGATATTGAATATATCTCTTGCTTCATGGAAACAATTAATCTTTGAATAAAAGTTGATTTTAAATGGAATGAGAAGCTGAGCATAATGAATATGAAATAAGACATTGGTATCGAATTACTTTGACGATATTCCTCTGGTTACGATGATAAATAAATCTTCAGAGCCACTTCTCATTAAAACGCCTATTAATGTATTTTTGTTATTTCCTTGTTAAAAAGAAGGAGCATTGCAAGTTTTAAATATAAAAAAGGAAGAAAGAAAAATTATTCACGATGCCAAGAATCAGATAACAATATCAAATCTGTTTTACATCTTGGTCCTGAATAGATACAAAAAGTGATACACACAATATGAAAAAGTGGAACTCGCTCACGGTTATAATTGAATATAAATCGATTTACAACTGGTGTTGTAACACGTTCAATATAACACATTAAACAAAATCGATAATTGAAACAATTGCATAATACAAATAAAAAACGGGAGCGGGGCAAAAAAACTAAATAAACAGATATATAAGAAGAATGAAGTAAGATAAAATAGAAGATCGAAATGTGTATAAAGGAGGAAGGGAGAGACAGAGAGAGAGAGAGAGAGAAGGTGAAAGGGTAGATAAACGTAAAAGGAGAAAGAAAGGAGAGGAAATAGGCCAAATAATTCAATAAAGTGATTCTTAAAAAAAACGTAATTTACCTCATTTCAATCTACGTTGAATACTCGAACGTATCGATGACGTCACAAAAGAACTAATAAGTATCGGAAGAAGGAAAGGATCAATGTCACTATAAGTTTTTATACCGAGTCAAATATCAATGCAGGACAATGAACGAAAATATCACATGCGTAGTCCGATGGATAGTACACTATTTCCCAATATATAGGAGGCTATTTTCCGATATATAGTAGATTATCAATGCTTCGACAGTTCAGGACGATGTTTGTTTTGCTCCAGATTGCAATAAGCACTGCAATCTTCCGATATATAGAAGGCTATCTTTCAATATCATTGTAGGCTATCTTCCGATATAAATAGACTGTCTCTGATTTTGAGAGTTGAGTTAGCAGCTTATCGATGATTTGTAACAGTGAAGGACGACTGGTGTTTTGCTCCAGACTACAATGATCACGACCACGACCACGACGATGACAATGATGACGACGATAATGATAGCAAGAAAAGCTAGATGTTGTTGACACGTAATCACTCCCCAAAATGGATGACAATCATTAACATTGATGATACCGCGTTGAGACACACGCTGTGAAGGAAAGAAACTTTATATTCCTCTGAGCAGACACGGAAATAAGAAGAGCATATTCAAGTTGCATACATGCAGAAAATCACTTTGATCCTTGTGAATGACTCATTAACTATTTATTTTGTTTCGGTGAAGTACATGGAGAACACAGCAATAAGGAAAACCGCTCTCACTTTTCCGACGAACGATAAAAGCATGAAAACTTGCCACTGATAAATACAATTCCTCAAACATAGGTGGCAAGTGAATAGTTGATGTTCTTTAACCAAGATGGATGTCGCGAAACACAGAAATAGAAGAAACTCGTCCTTCCTACTTTCATTTTGTTAAACAGTACAAACGAAACACACTGCAGTATTACAATGCCGCTGACTACACAAACATGGCCGATATTGGTCGATCAGACACAACGCACAATTCAGAACTTTCCCTTCCTCACCCTCTCTCTCTCTGTGAGTAAACGTTTTCATAATTTGATGTAATTTTTATTATCTGTTGCCGTGTCATTCAGGAAGTAAAAGTGCCATCAAGTTGACAGAGTTAATGATGAAACGACCACATAATAATCAAATCTAGTTTTGATACAGAAGCGGCATTGTGGGGTGGAGGAGGGGGGGGGGGGGGGGAGGGGAGGGTAGGGGCGGCCCATGATTATCGTAAACAAACTTCCCGAATTGACAGGCTATGTTTATTTCTCATTACTATACATTTGAGGCATGTAACGATTTCGTCAAGGAGTGAGGATTTAAAAAAAAATCTTAGACTTTTGAGGACCGTGCTCCCTTTAAAAAAAAAATCTCTGGCGCCGCCCATTTATTATATGCCAGGAGTTTTTCAGGAGTGAATGGGTGTACTACGGAAAGCCCCCGCCCCCTACACCCCCTGCCCTTGTTTATATCAGTTGGGCGAGATACAAAAATATAGAAAGTAAGTAAACGCCAAGGATGAGTATGAATACAAGAAGAAAACAAATTGTGTGTGCTTGCGTCAAAGAATTTGGCAGTCGCTGACGTAGTCCTACGTCAATGAATTGACGCTTCGTGCGTAACGGTTATTCCCACAGCGTAGATAACAGTACCCTCGAAACTATAAAACCCCTTTTTGCGAGAAACTCACGGATATGCCCCTTAATGGCTCATGAAACCGAAAGAGCTATACGAGTAATGCTCATGATTTGCAACTGCGGTATAGCGTATGTGATATAAATAGGGGAAGGTTTTTAAAAAAAAATTGTATACGAGGTCACGAATGCCTTTTACTAGAGTTTAAAGATGAATTCAAGTACTGGTCATTTGATTCCTATCGTGACAGATATTGTTTGAATTTATAGGGAAAGGTTGGTGATGTAGTACTTAAAGATAATGTATTACGAGGTTTTGGAATCATCAAAAAGGTAGCGAACTTACTAAATCATGACTGTGAAGAGGTCCAGACAGCAGTCTATAAACATAACATATTTCGATGTTACGTTGAATGTAGACAAATTTAATTATGTTATTGCTCAGCAAAACCAATTGTTACATATTTAATCCAGACGCCTCCTTACCTCTTACTTAGTTTAGACGCTGTTTCATGATTTTGATAGAAAAGTTCCCCAACCCGATTAGGGGGGCGTATAAAATGCCTTCTAATTTAACTGTAATCGTTATTGAGATTCGGAAGGATAAAGAACACTATCTACTCTTCTTAAATCGCTTCGATACTGCATTGGGATAAAACAAAATGAGCGGAAAAGGTGTCCTTTGGTTGCCGCCCCCATCCCCCTAAATTTATTAAATTCCCATCTGCACCCCTCCCCCGCCCTGAATACACGCTAATACAGGAGAATGCGCTATCTTAACAAGCGTTTGAAAGATGCACGTCACAATATGTGCTCTCCTGCACCCGAAGATTCCCAGTACTTGTATTATACAATTTATAGAAAGAGGTCAGTGCCTATTGGAGGCGCGGGGCCTTTGGCCGCAGGAAAGCATAGAGTCGTCACATCTTTTTAACGCTTCTCAAGGTAGCGCTTTGCCCTGTAAAGCGCTGATTTTTGTTTCCTTCGGGGGGGGGGGGGGGGGTGCAGGCGGGATTGGAATAATGGTTGTTTAAATGGGGGGCGGGGTGGGGACATTGTGGAGATTTTGAAGGATAAAGATTACTATCTACTCTCCTTAACTCACTTCGATATTGCATTTGGATAAAGCAAACTGAGCAATTCGGTCTTTTATATAGCGCCATCTTATGAGATAACTATGTCTCGATCTGATCGCCAACCCGAGTTTGGCCTTCTAGTGGGGCATTCACATATACACTCTGGAGCCCGTAAGGCGAGTGAAAACAGACATTTTGGAAATTTTCGGCCGGTGTCCGGCCGACTGCCGTTAAGATCTTACGGGCTCTGGGACAGTTTTTTTAAGCCGTACGGGCGCCGTGGTGCTGAGTTGGCTGCTCCCGATTCTTCCGGCGTTTTTATCTGACCATTAGGCCGTAGAAAGCCCGTAAAGGGCCAGTAAGGCACCTTATACGGGTCCCGTTCGTGCTTCGGACGGTGCCCGGACGGGCCCCTCACGATTTGTTTTGGTCAATTCTCATGAAAAATCTTTCCGGGCGCCTTGCGGTGCTCAAGGGTGCCGTACGTGTACCATACGGCTCCCTCATGGGCCCATCAAGAGCCCGGGTGATATGCACAACAACAGGCGTCTGCCGTCCGGGGGCCATTTAAAATGAATATTGCCCGTGCTGGCCCCTCACGGCGGCATTTAAAAATGTACAATGCAGCTTTAAATACAGAAGCTAGGTGCGGATGTTATGTCGATCTCTAGTTCACTGCCTCTGTGTTATGTATATACGGGCAACAACAAAAAGGACGGGTTTCCCATTTGCAACGGAGGCGTTATGCAAGTTATCACATTAGTAATAAACCATAAAGGTGTTGCATCCATATCGTGTTTGGTTTTCACGCAGCGCATACACACGAACCCGGAAAGAGTTAAGTTTGGGAGGGCGTGACGCCTTATATATACCACGTTGACTTGAGTGTAGCTAGCCATCTTGTATTTTCCAGCAAACTTTCTGGTTTCGGAATTATATAATCAGTTTACACATTTACCATTGTTAGTGATGTATACCAACATTTGACATTGGCGTTGATGATTAGTGTTTCGTCTTGCGTGTATTCAAGCTGGAAAATGATGAACAGAACTGACTTCCTTCTGATTTGGTATAACAGTTGACACACATACGTCAGAATATAAGGTAAGTGTATTCCAGTATTCTTATACCAAAAAACCTAATACCGTACGTACTGAGGGAGGGGATGTTAACCAGTAAAGCTTCTCGATATAATTTTTGTTTGGTTTTTGTATTTTTGATTATGTTGTAAGGATTTGCTGTAAAGAAAAGTCTCTTTTCTGTCGCTTTATTGTTCTTTAATGCTTGAGTTGTTTTGTTTATGTCTGTTTGTTTGTTTCTTGATTTAGTTGGGAGAGGGGGGGGGGGGTGTTGTCAAAACTTGGCGCCGTCTATTTCAGACGCAATTTTAATGTACGTTAAAGAAAAGACCGTTTGTCATGAAACGAAACTCGTATAGATTTACTTCAAGTGTCTGAGTTTGCTTCACCCTCTTCATCCAGGTGCTGGCCTACTATCTAAATTATATGTACAGTAGATACAATAGAACAAGAAAATATGGTATTCAATTTTCATATGCTATTTGTCGTATGTCGTATCCGGACACCTACCACCTGGACATCCACCCAAGGATAACTACCCTTAGAATAACAACCCTCTAGGACGACTACCCCTAGGACAACTACCCCCGGACAACTACCCCCAGACAACTATCCCTAGGATAGTTGTCCGGGGGTAGTTGTCATAGAGGATGGTTGATGTAGGGGGGTAGTTGTCTGGGGGGAAGTTTTCCGGGGGTAGTTGTCCTAGTGGGTAGTTGTCTGGGGTAGTTGTCCGGAAGGTAGTTGTCCTAGGGGGTAGTTGTCCGGGGGTAGTTGTCCGGGGGTAGTTGTCCTAGAGGGTAGTTGTCCGGAGGGTGGTTGCCATAGTAGGTTGTCCTAGGGGTGGTTATCTGGGGGTGGTTGTTCAGGGGTAGGTGTCCTAGAATCTGTACATGTATGTGTATTTTAATCTTCTTTCTGCCAAGGATCGACAAATAATGACTGAAATACCCCAAAATTATAACAAAACACACTCAAGAAATACATCTGGGTTTAAGAGCAATTTCAATACTGCAGAGCTAATAGAAATCATATTCGGATTATCTCAAAAGCAGGAGAAGAAAAAAAGAGCCTAGTAAAATGGCTATAAGTTAATTCATGTCAAATTCATATTGCCTCAGGAATACATCTATGCCAGTGCATCTAAACATATATTTGTTTGAATAATCAATTAATTCACTGTTGTCTTTCAAAATGATCGTCTACAAGCTTAAAGTCATTTTATGCCAATAATGGGAAAATACAGAATGTACTGAAAGTATGAAACTGGTTGATCTACAGAATAATGATGACGGTTGTCAATGTCGACTAGGGAGCATACCCTATTTATTATTAATATTTACTATTATTATTATTACTACTACTACTACTACTATTACTACTACTTCTACAACTACTGCTTCCATTACTACTACTTCTATTATTAGTACTACTACTACTACTACTACTACTACTACTACTATACTTCGTCAAGTACTACTACTACTACTTCTACTACTATACTACTACTACTACTACTACTACTACTACTACAACTACTACTACTACTACTTCTAATATTACTAACTACATTGTACTAATATTACTATTACCGCTGTACTACTACAACTATAACTGTATTACAGGTA